AAAAAAAAAAAAAAAAAAAAAAAAAGACCCCAAGACTGGGCAAGATCCTTTTGTCTCGTTTTGGACAGGGAAAGCGCATTCAAGATGTTATTCAAGTGAAAAACTACGTATTCTTGAGTGCGCTGGATTTACTGCCAATCCTCCTTTTCTACATGAACGCCGGGTAATATACAGCCTTGCTCGCCTCCCTTTGCCAAATACAACTCCGTGCCAATGACCGAGTATCAGTGGCCTTGTTTCCACGCGAGCGTCTAGTCATCATCGGTGTACCTGGGCCCACTAGCCGCCGGCGTCTCGGGAGCGCCGTACGCTGCAGGTGTGGGTGCGCTATAGTAGGCAGATGACGAGCCGAAGCCGCTGGCAGCAGGAGTAGGCGCACCCGCAGCAGGTGTTGGAGCCGAATCGGCACCCCATCCACCTTGCCACCCGCCGCCGGGGGTCGGCGCACTTGCAGCGGCCGGCGTAGGCGCCGAGTAGGCACCAGGTGTAGGGGCGTTGAGAGCACCTGGTGTTGGTGCACCGAGAAGAGCGCCGCCAGGTGTCGGCGCATCGTAACCAGATTGGCCAGGCGTATAACCCCACGAGTCGCCCCCGCTGGCGGCGGGGGTCGGTGCAGAGCCACTGCCATACGCAGGCGTCTTGGAGCCAGAGCCCCAAGCATCCCCTCCTCCGTATGCCGGTGTCTTCGACCCCAGTCCGAAGGCATCGTGAGCCGGTGTCTTGGCGCCCGATTGCCATGCCGGTGTTCTCGATCCTCCACCGTACGCAGTGCGGTTGCCATCGCCGTAGGCAGTTCGTGAACCGTCGGCCCAGGCCGGTGTACGGGATCCGGAGTAGTCTGGGCCGCTGGACTTCCAAGCCGGAGTACGCCCACCAGTCGGCGCAGGAGCTCGTCTATGTTAGCGCTATATTCAATGAAACAAGTGGCGTTGGGCATTCGCTTACTTCTTGAGCCCCAAGCGGGCGTTCTCTCTGGGCCGTTGGTAGCGACTGGTGTCCTGCCTCCCTGCCAGTCCCCATGTCCGCCACGACCGCCGCCCGGAGGACCGCTGTGGCCTCCACGACCCCGGCCATTGATTTCAATCTTGGCGCCGGTGATCTTGTCCTTGAAGCTCAGGTGATCCTTGGGCACGGTAATGGTCTTGCTCTTCGTGTGCAGCTCCACTCGGGCGTGGGTGTCAGTAGCGTCCTTGACGATGCCCAAAAGACCCTTGTAACCGCCCTTCCTGATGATGACAGTCTTGTCGATCGCACGGTCGCGTCCTCCGAAACTTTTGGGTGGCGCCATCTTGCTCTCAGAACCATTAGGGTTGCGCTTCATGGCAGGGTTCATCTGATCCAGGTTGGGACCAGCCGAAAGCACACGTCCACCCTTGGCCGCGATAGTGTTGACATTGCCAGCCTTGGTCACAAAGACACCAGCGTTCTCGTTACTGTCATTGTTGTGCAGGAAGACATAGGCGCGATGAATGTGGATGATCTTGCCCTGGCGCTGTTGACCACCATACTCCCGAACGACATCATCAAGCCTGATCTCGGAGCCGGTCCTGTCCGCGGCTACGGCTATTTTCCGCTTGGGAAGCTTGTTGGCAATCTGCGATGGCATAACTTGCCGCGCATCTCCGTTCTGGTCGAGGACGACCACCGATTCGCGATCAACCTTGACAATGCAGCCGACGGTGGTAGGATCCAGTTGGACCAGATCAAAGAGCTCGTACTGGCCTAGCGAACCCTGCCCGCCAATGTCACTTGCTTCGCGCAAATCCTTGCTAAAGACGGTAACTTCAGTATTGGTCTGGTCTGTCAAGAAGGTGACCCTGTCTTCCGATATCTTGACAACCATACCAACCTCGTCACGGAATCGGCTGCCGCTGGTGACCTTGACGTGATCTCCGATTCTGAACCGCTTTCTCAGGCCCTTGGTGGGGACTTCGATGACTTGGCCCGCCAGGACTCCCTCGGTGACTTGCATCGTAACAATATCGCCTTGGACATTGGTAGCTTTTCCAACAACACCCTTCTGCTCGCCTTCGTAGACCTCAATGATATCGCCAGGCAGGTAAGCGACATTGATGTTGCTGTCCTTGAGGCTGGAGGCAAGGGCTTTGAGGTCGAGGTTCTCAGTGCCGTCCTCGGCACCAGAGGCGAATCTGGTAACTTCTTCCAGGGTTGGGTTGACGTCCGTAACCACCAGCTGCTGGATCTTGATATCCTTGACCTGAAAACCATTTTCGAACTCGTCGCCCATGTAGTTCCAAACCTTGGTGGTTGGGTTCCCCTGGATGTGTCTGGGATGTCGCTTGCGAGCCTCAGTCTCGTTGAAGAGACGTTGAGGAGGGCGCGGTCCGGCCATGCCAATAGGCCGCTTTCGCTTGCCATCAGCAGTGAGGGCGGAAGCAAGAGCGTCGTCTCGCATTCCGTAATCAAGACGGGGGATGAAGCGGACCCTGGCTTCGAGTCCATTCTCGGTAACATCGATGACCTGGGCCAAATCACCGGCGTGTTTGGCAGGTTTGCGTAGCCTGACCCAGGCGCCGGGCTCCAAAGTGGGTGTCTTTGTGACACGAAGCAGGTCAGGCATGTCCTTGATGTCTACGAGGATCATCTTGGATCGAGGGTAGACGTTGAACATGCCATCGAGTGCAACCATGATGTCGGTGGAACGGTTGGCTTCGACATAGATGTAACCCTTCATAACGGAGGTTGGGCCACCACGTTCAAAGGCCGAGATGATGGCCAGTTCGTCCTTGGTACCCATCCTTTCCTCGATGCGTTTCATGATAGAGAAGACGACCTCTCGCTCCTTGCCTTCCTTGCATCTGACAGCCCAGATGGTAGGGTCATCAACACTGGGCATCAGCAGGCGCTTCGGAACGACGGCGGAATCCCCAAAGCCCTTGTTCGGGCGGCGATTGCCGTAGCGCTGACGAAGAATCTCAGCCTGTTTTTCGGCATCCATGCTCGCCTCCATCTCGCGGCGACGGTCGAGTTCTCTGTGACGTCTATCATCGTCAAGGCCTCCGCTTTCGGCAATGTCGTCGGGATGGGCGTTGTCGATGAAGTCCTCTATCTCCTCACCATCTTTCTCCTCATCCTCGCCATCCTCTTCGTCGTCAACCTCGGCTTCGATATCGAAGAAAGCGGCGCGGCGGTCCTTTCTGCGCTTGCGGCGATGTCCCTAGATGTGGCAGAGTCAAAATCGGTGCTTGTCGAAGCAGTTTGAGAGAGATTCATCATGTTGCAGGCGTAGACAGCTGCCTAGCGTTTTCCAGGTGTGTGCATATGTATATGTATGTGAACGCTGTAGGGCGGCGCAAGCAGGGAGGCTTACCTGTTGTACATCGTCCTCGTCCTCATCATCATCCTCGTCCTCGTCCTCTTCCTCCTCTTCGTCATCGTCGTTTTGCACGACATCATCTTCCTCTTGTCCCTCGTCATCGTCATCGTCGGGAATCCTCGACTTGGACGGAGCAGGAGCATCATCGTCGTCGGCAACGGGGCTGCTTTCGCGTGCGTGCCTGTTGTTGGTATCGGGTTCCTCGTCGGACAAGTCGGCGGGCGCGGGATTGAAATCATCCTCCTCCTCCGAATCGTCATACCGATTGTGGTCGCTAGATGCCATCTTGGAGACGAGGGGGTTTAACTCCCAATGTGATGGCGGGTGGGATTGGAGGATGTGCCGTGAGATTGGTTCGAGATGAGACTGCCAGCCAGCAGAGCAGCAAGGAAGGGGAAAGCGATTCCTCCTGGGTCTTCCCTGATGGGGAGGTGAGCCTGATTTAAATAGGTGGGAAGGCACGAAAATGTAAGAAACCACGGTAAATCTGGACTACCGGGTTGGAGGACAGGACGGTTGAATTGAGGTGAAGGAAGAGGCAACGAAGAGCAGAAAGCTGCACGGCCTAAACCAGAGCCACGGCCGGCCGGCCAAGGGCAACGCGACAGCAGTCCACGTCCGAATCGAGATTAGCGGGTCTGCGCCCTGGCTGCTTAGGCCTGAGGCAAATCACAGAGGTACCTACCTAGGTACCTAGAGGCTGGCAGTAGGCATGTACTTACCCAAGGTACCTAGGTAGGTGGTGTCGAAGCTGCATCCAATTTATTATGGGCCGCCACCCTATGTTCCATGTTCTTCACACTCCGTCTCAACCCGTCCAAATGGAATATCTTTCGGTGAATATAATCATACTCGTATCATACACTCACTTCTCCTGTCGAGGTGACAACTTTCGAGAAGAAGAGGCTTTTGACGCGTTCTAAAGTTCAACCTTTCTCAGCTGGTTTTGACGAGTTAGAAGAGAGGACACAGACATGTCAAGATGGACTACGCCCCATGTTACTGACGTTCCAATAGAGGCACTGGCTGCCATCAGCGGAGCAGACGTACACCGTTAGTTTTTGGACTTGGAGGAAATCGTTGCAGTAAGGAATTCTCTAGTTCGGTGGTTTCCAGTTGCAGGTACAAATGTAGGTCTGATATCCTAACGGCAACTGTCTCGGCTTGTTGCAGCTGCATCATTAATTGAACGACTCGCATCACCTGGGCTCCTCCCTCTCTCTCTACAAACCTCATGATGCCATGACAATTGTGACCTCCAACAACTCATCACCTGCGTCAATTCCATCTCTTCCCATTTTTGGGAGTCTTTTCTGCATCGCAAACCACAAGTTTGAGAATGCCGTCTCGGCATAGAAGCCGAACCGTCGTCATAACCAGATTTGTCAATGTAAATCCTGATCCATCCAAAGTCAACCACACCGGCGAACAATCACAGATCTCCAACCCCCCAAGACTAACCCCCATCTCATGTATCCCATCCTGGTTGTCATACATATGAGTTTCCAGTCTTGCTCTAGATGTTTTCGCCTGAAAAAAAGCTAAAGAGGGAAAGCAGGGTCATGACACTACACTACACACACACAGCTTTGTTGTTTGGTCTCTTACTTACCAACGGCCTTAGGACTTGAACAAAATAAAGATCTTTGAGATCAATCGATCGATGCCTAGGCTAGACAAGTACCTGATCTGAGTGAGGGCCGCGAGGTGAATTTTGTGGATACTCTCTATGTATGTGACAGCAAGCCATGCTGTCAACGCCAGCTTGCTAACACCCATATACAGACCAAAGGGAGGCACCAGAACACCCGGTTCTTGGTGAGGCCGCCATTCCGTTTGGGTCTGAAGTTTTCCGGCTTCATTCTATCGGTTCCAGCACATTTGCATTTCTGTCTAGGCGAAATAATTTTTGGAGGTTGCATGGGTTCGTATAACGAGCTGATATTTCTTCCCGCCTGGGCACCTTTGCATCGCATCCCAGCCGATTGGACGTCAGGCAAGGCCGCCGGTATCGCCGCCATGCTCTCCGTCTCTTATACAGCGCTGCTCCAAGCTAGGATCCAGCCTCGGTAATTAATTCTTGTGCATGTAGCTGCAGGCGGGTTCGGCCTCATGGCTCTTCGGGTTGCGACGGCCATTGGATGCCACATTATCGGAACCGCAGGCTTCCCCAAGAAATAACCTACTGCCGAAAATTCGGGGCTCGATACCGCGTGAACTACACCCACACATCGGCATAGTGGGAGCGCATTCTGGGACTGACAGACCATAAAAGCGCTGATGTAGCCTTCGGTCCCATTGGGCGCATCGACCGGAACTTGAAGTGCATTGCTCACTGGGGCAAGGTTCTGATCGTGGGCTTCGCCGGCATAAAAGTTGGGATGGAACATATCGCCATGAACGGAGTGTTTCTGAAGCAAGTCTTACTGGTCAGCTATATGAGTTGTCCCCTTGCTGAATTTCATACTTTGTCAGACCCTTTCTTTCGATTGACCGGTTTGCGTCCCGCAGCTGTACGAAGAGAGCTTATGACAATGGTATGACGAAGAAAAGGGCGAAGGAAATGGATTGCAATCACCCATAGTGAATAACCCGATACAGCCTACCGTGTACGAGATTGAATACAATGGGCTCGAAAATGCCCCTCGGGCGCTTGAAAGATATGACGAACCGAAAGGTATGGGGCAAGGCAGTCGTCGTGCTGAATAATAACGTAACGGGCGCGTCTCCGGCCGGGATCCAGTACAATCTTTCCGCAATGAAACATAGTGAATACAGCTTGTCAGGGACGATGGGAAATGACCTGTTGGGCTGATTGGCTGCGGGACGAGTACCGCGCGTTGATCATGACATTCCGTTACTCTTCTCCCCCTAATTGTTCCCGTCGGTATATAGCCATCCATTTTTGTTCTCCATCGCCGACACTGAAGCCATAGTGAGTCTCGGAGGGCGTCGTTTGATTACCTCCACCTCAACTATCCCAATGGAATCCTTTGGAACATCACGCATAGTTGTCTCCTACAGCCGGCTCGATAGCCCATTCCTAAACGCCAGGCTTCGCGATGCATATTTCACAAGTGACCAGCCAGATCTATGAACAGGGCAGCAAGACGGTCAGATGAATATGCTGCTCATTGTCCTCAGCCCCCTTCAGGCACCGGCCCGTCCACACGTCTTGACCCCCCAGAGTCCTCTGCCAGCACTCACTCCCAGCCACTCCCCTTGATCGTTGGTCGAGAGGTGCGGAACCCACGCAAGATTGCCAACCTCGTAGTCGCACTGCCAGCTGGCATACGGGCTTCGCGTGTTATCTGGTTGAGCGGCACCGTTGGCAGGAGGACCACCGCTGAGCGAGTGGTTGTTGTAAACGTCCCAAAGCAACACCTGGCAGTCGTCTGCTCCCGATGCCAAGACTCCCCGCCTCGTGGGCGACCACTCGATGGAGTTGAGAGAACCTCCATGGCCCCGCAGCTCGAGAAGGGCCTGTCCGGGATGCCTTACGTCAAGGATGCGAATAACGTTGGAGTCTTGAGCAAATGTGGCCAGCAAATGAGTGTCATGAGGTGAGGTTGCTAGTCTCAGCAGAGGTGGAGGGTTCGACATGGTTTGCTGCGCAAGGGTAGGGCTGATGCGTCCACCATTGGCGTCTGGTAAAAGTTATGTTAGTCTCACAAACCGAAATGGAGAAACATTCAGCGGGGCATACCTCGATCATCCTTGCCAGTAGGTTCGTAAATGATGGTGCTATGTTCGAGACTGCGCAAATCAAACATACGAACGCTCCCGTCTTGCCCACAGCTCACGAACACGTCGACACTGTTGGCACAGAAGCGCACATCGTATACCTCTTTATCGTGGGCAATCAGTTGCGTCTTGGCCGTCAAAGACGGAATATCCCAAATCGTGCAGGTGGTGTCGATACTGGATGTAATTATTAAGCTTGGGGAGACAGTGTTCCAGTCCAGGGAAGTCAGCGGCGCAGTATGGTCGGGGGTCTTTGAGTTAGAAAGCAGCGCAAGAGGCGTTAATTTCGTAATGGCGGGGTCCCTTGCCTGCCGGGTGATGGAGTTGCTCTGCGATACAGGATTCTCGGAAGGAAGAGACCACAGACGGAGATGGTCGCCGGACGTCGCGAGGAGATCGGTTGACTGTTTCTGGGACGACGGTGGTTCCCAGAGCAGACGCGTCACGGGATAGGAGTGTGTGGCTTCGGCAACCTTTGAAAATTCGAGGTTGAACTTGGGCGTGCCTGGTTGGTAGACGTCATTGGGCGTCGGCACCATCTGGGTATCGAGGATTTGGATCTGAGGGCAAGCGGGTTAGTGTGGATTGGCGGGCAGTGGGACAAAGATGGATTCTTACATAGTTGTGACCATCCTCCAGATAGCTGCCAACAGCGAGTTTCCCTGCACCATTGCCCTGAGGAGGCCATTTGCACCAGTCAAAGGCGTAAAGGGCCCAAGGAGCGAGGTAGTTGCTGGTACCAGGCTGGGCATTGGCCAGCTCGTAGGCTACACTTCCTGGGACACCATCAGACATACTCGAGTCGGCGCGGGGACGGATATCGGCCAGGCCCAATGGAGTGTTGGATATGTTTCGCTGCGAACCGGGAGCATTGTACTTTTGCTCCGGAGGGGACATGAATTGCGATCCTGATCCGCTCGGGGTGGTTGGGGTGTAGGGCGCAAAGGTCGAGGCACCTTCGTAGCCAGCAGCCGGGGAGGAACGGGAGTAGCTGTGGGATAAGCTCAGATTCGCGGGCTTCGAGGGCGTCTGGTAGTCTTGCGACTGCTGGGGCTGCATCGTGGAAAGAGCAGGCGCCGTGTTGGCGGTGACGGCGGACGGGCGGTTACCGGGGCCACCAGGCTGCAAGACGTTGGGCACCGATGAGGTGTTTTGGTACTGGGGGGCGTTTGGCGATGCCTGATCCAGTTTGATATGAGGAGTGGCTGGGGCGGCGGACGAAGATGAGTATTCGCGAGGTGACAACTGGCCGTGCTGCATCATGCCCGCTGGCATGTGCAATTCTTCGTGCTGGGAGCTGTAGGTGCCGGTGCGTCGCGGGGTGCCGGACTGGAATTGCGGCGGCGACTGCGGCTGCGACTGCGGCTGCTGCTGCTTTTGTTGCTGCTGGTTCATGGCAGATACAGAGGAAGAGGAGGGTGAGGGAGAGGGATCGGAGAACAAGGCGATGGAGGGGTTAAGGCCCGGCGGCCCTGATGTCTCAGTCGCAGTGGAGTGGGCTCGCAGCGAGCAGGTTGAGTCTCGGTGCGGCTGCAGGCCCTGGGCCGGAAGCAGAGCGGCGGGGATGGAGGCACGCTGCTGTTGCTGCTGAGATTGTGACCGAGAGAGAGAGTGAGTGCGCGGGTTGTTATTGTTGGAGGAGGAAGAGAATGAGGGGGAGTACGAGTGCGACTGGGAACTGGAATGGTGAGGCTGGAGGGGGCGGGCGCAAGCGGAGTCGTCGACCGTGGCGGCAGGCGTGAATGTGGCCGTGTGCCCGCCTCGGTTGTTGCTGGTGTTGGGGGTGGTGGTGGTGCCGTCGTCGTTCTCGGAAGTATAGTACTCGTCGTCCCAGCGGAAGTTGGCGACGGGGGGTTCCTTGGGCAGCGGTGGCCCACTGGCGGGTGTTGTCGCGCTTGCGGCTCCTGGAGTGTATTGAAGAGACGAGGTGGGAGGAGACAAGACGCGGCCGGACGCAGCGAGAGGCTGATGATGGTGGTGGTTGGGCAGGAAGTACCCAGACCGGCCCTGCTGCTGCTGAGGAGAATATAGCGAGGGTTGCCCGTAAGATGAGTACTGGGACGATACCGACGGCCGCCGAGAGTGATGGTGGGTGGGTAGCGGCGGGCGGTAATTATTAGAGGCAATGCTGTCAGTCGTAGTGGCGGCAGCGGTAGGGACGCCAATGGAGCCCAGTGCCTGTGCCGCCTGATACAGAGCCGAGGACGCGCTTAGCCGTTGCTGGTGATGCGGCCGCCATTGCTGCTGTGGCTGCTGCTGTGTCTCTGGGTCAATGCTCTGTTGAGATGCCGACCGCCGATGGCCCAGGAAGTGCATCATGCTCGATGAGCTGCTGCAATGGCTGCAACAAGGCGTGAGGAGACGAAACAGCAGAGTAGTTCTTCGCGGACGAGATGAGGCGGGTCGGTACCTAGGTAGGTATACAGGCAGGCAGGCAGGTACAGCCAGCCCAACAAGGCGACGTCCAAGTCAGGAAACGAATTACAAAGAGAGAGGAGGAGGGAGAGAGGGGTAGGGGGGAGATAGAGGTAGAGAAATGAAAATAAAGACGTATACGAGAAGAGACGAGAGAACGGGACGTTGGAGACGACGGCTCCTGATCTTCACCGTCCCACGAAGAAAGAGAGAGAGAGGCAAAGGGAAAAGAACAAGCAGCAGTGCCGCCGGGAAAGAGTGGACGTCGTCGTCGCGTCACTCGCTGCCTCCCTTCAGTATGGTAGATAAATGATACATAAGAGAAATAAGGAAGATAAGGTATGCTTTGAAACTTGACTTTTCTCTCTTTTCTCTCTGTCTGCCTTTCTCCCAGGCTCTCGTATGGCCTCTCTGTATGTTGTCTATGGTCTATGGTCTGTGGTCTACGTTGCTGTTGTCACAGCAGGGTGGGGGTCTCTACGACATCGCCCTGACTAATAGACTGCCAACCAGTTGATTGAGGTGAGAATGGGACTGTGGCCAGTCAGTACTGCCCAAGGGGAGTTCGGACACGTTGGGCATGGATCTGGGCATGAACCGAGACGGAAGCGCGGATGTAAACGCGGCCGGGGGACGAAGCATGGAAGGAGAGATGGAGAATGTACGGAGTATTCGCAAGAAAGAAAGAAAGAAGGAGTTTGGACAGCCGCTCTCATATGTTGCTCAACCAGCTCGTTGTGCCTATCTTCTCGGTATGTATTGCTGTTGCTGCTGCTGCTGCTGCTGCCGCCGCCATTTATCCCTGTTCTCTTACGGCAAATACGGCAAACAGTCTGGCATCGTCCTCGACACACGATGTACGATTGTACTACTACGTCAACACTGTATAAGTGTATAGTATTTTCCCTGTTGACGGCACGGGTTGACGTAACCCGAGTTATTAATCGGTTCATTGCGTCGCAATTTGGAGCAGCAGCGCAAAACCGGCCGGCCATGTCGTGTAGCCCAGGCTGCGTTGGTATGGACGTTGACCCATCGGAGGGAATTGTCATGTAGTAGTATCGTATGTATAGTATGCAATGGATCACAGGAGAATATGTATATATACACTGCTTGATGCTTGTGGGGGTATATGCTGGTAATAGGTTAGCAGCTTATCGGCATGACTCGATACGTTATTAGGTAGCTCCCTGTCGCTTTCGACCCGCCTGGTGACGTCTGCCTCGTGTACTGCTGTCCACAGTGTGGAGGTTCCAGAAGCTCCAAAGCCCCCCAGCTGTGAGACCCCCTACCTTACCTTGGTACCCGCCGCCCTGTGCCGACCACCGTGGCACATGCTCAAAGCTCGTGAGCATATCGAGCTAGGTGTGTCTAGGCGTCTACATATGTACTTTACTCACCCGGGTTGGCTTTCCATGCTTTGCATATTTCCATGTTTGCTTAGGCGCGTTGCATCCTTCAACTAAATGCGGAGAATCTCGACCGTCGCTCATAGCATCTCGCCGCGTTACGAATCCTCAAGCTCACTACTCATGCCTATGTCGTCTCCTCGCTGACGCTCTTCAGCTCCACCCATATCGTGTCCTCTCCCTGGTCCCTACGACTTAGAACGTCGGCTTAGCCAAACATCATTGCCAACCATCCATAACTACCTGTTCAGATTCGCCCGCTACAGCAGCGGCACCTATGCCACTCGATGGCACCCGGCTCCCCTAGATTTCTCGATCGACTCTCGCCGACGCGACAGAAATCTCCCATTTTGCCGTTATACACGTCCCGCGCAAGACGCTCTGACGACTACGATCTTGACGACCTGTCCCCGAGACCCGATGAAGCACTGTTGCCAGAGTCGCCGCGATCGCCCATAACCATGTCCACAAGGCGCTCCCCGTCCCCCGCAGGTCCGTGGGACGACCATACCCCGAGTCCAGCCGGCTCCGTCTCCAAGATGAAGCCCAAGGCTATGTTTGCCGGGCCGCCCCCTCCCATAGCTACCTCTGTGTTGTTACAGCCGCCTGCCTCACAGACTAGTCGCCCTTCTCGGGATGGAACGGTGGATATGAAGAAAAGCACCAAGGGAATGGCGGCTAGCCGAATGATGTTTGGAAGCATTTTGTTCGACCACGACTCCCGCGACCAAAGCACATCTCGTGTAGACTCGGTTTGGCGTAATTTGCAGCACCGAGAGCGGTCCCTTCAGAAGGAGGTACAGCGCTTGCTTGATATGCAAGCCACTGGACTAGTCTCTGGCAGTGAATCTCTCGAACCCAACGCAGGAGGTCCCGAAACATGGAGCGACTCTGGAAGCAGCACCCCAACAGGCACGTTTTACTCTACTGCTACCTCCAAATCACGTATGATGGCGTCCCTGGACCCTCCAGTGCGCGCCACTCCCCGAGGCGACATCATACCAGTTCGACAGCCCAAGTCCTCGGGTCCACAAGGCCTTCGGGCCGCGCGCAACGGGCTCCGACGGGTCTTGGCGGCTCTGACTGAACTCAAAGCCGAGGAGAATAATTACATCGAGTCGTCGCTTTTCCAGCGGAAAAGGGCCCTTGAGTACCTGGGTAACTTGGATGCGCGCAGGACCAGCATCTCAGCCGAACTGCACAGTCTGGCAGATGACGAAGAGGAGCCCCTGGCAAAGGAGCTCCGAGGCCTTGGGGAGCAGCATGAATCCCTCGGACAGGAGATTCGCCAGCTGGAGGAGAAGCTCATTGGTATGCGAAACCGACAAAGATGGCTGGAGCGCAAGATGGAAGATGTTCGTAACCGCCGAGAGGCCGGCCTCAGCGGCTACAGGGGCGCCCTAAAGGAGGTAGAGGGAGAGGTCGCGTCCCTCCTGCGCCGGCCTCCTATCGAGCCTCTGGATCTGGAAGTTGTTGAAACCACGACACGCAGCGAGCCTGGAAGTACCATCAACTCCCAGGACCCGCCCGGAGGAGCCGATTTCTTCCGTATGATACCGGCGCGGCGTACTTTGAGCATGGCAAAGGATTGGTGGGAAAGCGAAACGGACTTATTACTGAAGCGCAAGACGCAGGTCGCTAAAGATCGTGATGCGCTCGAGCAAGGCACGGAGCTGTGGCAGGAAACGATCAAGCTGGTCACCAGCTTCGAAGCGGACTTACGCCAGTCGTTGAGTGACGGCAGCAGTGCCACGGTCAAGGGTAAGCAGCCTCAGCGAGCAGGCGGCGAAGGCGTGGAGGCAATACTGCCGAGAATGGGAAAGGTCATCTTAGAGCTGGAGGAATACGTGAGGACCGCCGAGCACAACAGCTGGAACCTCCTGATCTGTGCCATTGGCGCCGAGCTTGAGGCTTTTCGAGAAGCCGAGAGCCTGCTTCGAGCTACTCTACCGCAGTCCCAGGCGGCTCCTCGGGTTGCAGATGTTGAGGAACCCTGGCCCAACGATGACGGTGTACCACATCGGTCGACGCAAGCGGACTCCGGCGAGACATGCACAGCACGGAGTCACCACGAAGAGAGTGACAACGAGGTCCCGCCCGACTTGCTGGTGTCACAGCTGGAAGAACATGATGACGGACATTCCCTTGTCGGATCTCTGCAAACGTCATCATCGCGGCGGGGCAGCGAGAACGAGGTGCCACCAGAGTTCCTGGCGGAGCACGACAACGAGCATGATGAGAGCATAAACTGATCATTGCAGCGGGTGCTTGTGCTGTCTGGGCACATGCAATTTTGGGGCTTTTACCCAGGAAACCATCGGCATAGCAATAGTTAGGAGTTTCGGTATCAGGGCATATAGGGTGTTGCGGGTGGACACGGGCAGTTCTGCGTGAACTCCGATGAGTTCGACAATGCAGGGTAACGGATCGACGTAGGAATGGGAAAGGCGCAGGCACAGGCTCAGGATACCCCGCAGATTATGATTCAACATGGCGTTTATCGGAACGGTCAACCGACCCACAGTTCGGACAGAGTCCTCCACAGTATGTTTGTTTCCCCACGATGCGGTGGCCCTTATCATCACAAGGGAAGCAAAGCTACCAGTATCTGCATGCGAGGCGCGTAAAGGGAACTGGAATTGTGGCGCATTGGATTGGTCGGTAACCTCGGCTATGTCTACATCGCGCGACGAGGACGATCCCGAAAGCGGGGTCCGCGAGCCCGGTTGTAAGGATGAGGGACACGGGGGAGACCGCAGTAGTAGCCTGTGCCCAAAAGGGCTGGTTATAACAATAAAACCAAGAGCTCGCCGACTGAGGCATCTAGCTTCTCTCCCCTCTCCCGAGTACAGCTACAGAAAGCCTGGAATTTGCCTATGGCAAACATGTGGACAGATATACTGAGGTAATGAACCGAGAAAATTGCATCAACGGATCAGCCTGTCGACGTACCACATCTCCTTTTACACCACCAAGCGGCACCCCCATACCACATTCTTTCAAGCAGCCGGCGAGCATTTCAGCATCGTGCTGAAGCGAGAGAAAGAGAGAGAACGAGGTTATTGTCTCGGGGGCAAGGCAAGGCAAGGCCTGGCTCCGGCAAGTCGTCGCGAAGAAAGAGGCAGATAAAATCCGTCAACCAAGGGCAGCGGTCTGCCGATATCCATGTCGATGCCGATGCCGACGCCGATTTACCGCGTGCGCTCGAACCAGCCGCTGGAGCCAGCGATAGCAACTGACTGATCCATCACCCACTCGCCAACACCGAGGTACTTGTCGATCCACTTCGAAACGTCCTTGTTCTCGCCGGCAGCTCTATCTGTCTTGAAACTGGGTCTGACGATTCCCAGAATGGGCACATGTTAGCTGCGCTGGGCTCGTCTGTCTTGTGTGTCCGAGACCAATATTCGCATGGAGGGGTACGCAAACTCACGTCAGGCCGGTCGATCGCTTCATGCCAGCGAGGAAGGCAGACACTGGAGAGAGAGTGCCGAGCGTTAGCCTACGAATCGATGTGCACCCGACACAACAAAACACAATAGGGGAGGGAGATGGCGAGGGTAAACCAACAGAGCACCGCATCAAATGCGTAGTGTGTCAAACGTCCAATCTTCGACCACAGGCCCAGAGTCAGCAAGTTGAGGAGCTAGTAGGAGGTTAAGACTGCGCAAAGCAACATCGAAGCTAGGCAGCAGGCGAGCGAAGCACGAGGGCGGGCTCGCCAACAGCCAGACGAGAGGAGGCTGAACCAACCATTGTGGAAGTCGTAAGATAAAAGGTCTGTTTTGTTTCTGGTTTCTTTTCGTCCTTTGGTAAGGGGAAGGGACGCGATTTTTCGTTGAGCGTTTCGATTTGGCAGTGTTGAAGAGGCTATTGGTCTCGCAGGATAAGGCTACGTACGGTCAGAAGATCTCGGTCGGGTGATTGTCATGGGACAGCCTGCCTTGGTTGACACGGGAGGTGGGCACTCAAGGTTGGAGACCCCACGGGCCATGGCTAACTGGAAGCGTTAGTGGGCAAGTGTGCAGCGGCGGCGGCGGCACTGTGCGCGCTCTGCCGGCCTCAGGCAGCTGCTAGGCCGAGACAAAGACTGGGCGGGTCTTTCCGATAAGAAAGGGCGATAATGGACTGAGGCGCGTGGGCCGTACCTCTCTCAGTGGCTGAAGTACCTCCCTCCTCCTCCTACCTACCCTCCATACCTGGAGTACCAGGTCTGTCTGTTTACTGGGAGAGCAGGAAGCCAAGCTTCTGGTTGCGTCGTCAATCATCAATCATCAACCATCAACGAAACTCCGAATCCAAGTGGAGAGGGAGATTTGTTAGCCTAGCTACTGCAAGCTCCAAGCTCCCTTCTTTTTTCCTGCTTCTCTCTACTTCTTTCTTTTCTTCTCTCTCTCTTTTTTTTTTTTTTTTTTTTTTTTTTTTTAACCGGAAGGAGGGTCTTCTCTTTCCCCCCCCCTTCGTTTTCCCTCTCTTTTTCATATCAAAGTCATCATTGTATGAATCTGAGTAATCAGTGACTGTCTTTCAACATTACCTTTATTTCCCCACCGCTACGACTGATAAGGCACAGCGCAGGGTAGGAGGGGAACGCGACTCGGACCCTGAGATATGGAGATGGTTCAATTTGGGTCGCCGGCAATCATCGAATTGGCTTACAATAGCGCCATCGCTCAAGGGGCGGTGTACCACACACTTTTGCTCCTCCGCAGCACAGGTGGGAACTAGAAAGGTCCGACGGTGTACCGGCGATGATCCACTTCCGCTTCATCGACATTTCCATCCACAACCATGCCAGATGAGGACGGAAGGCATGGGCAAATGCATTGTTGCCATTTGCAATTTCCAAGGGGTCGACTGCCCGGGCCGGTGTTGCCCTCCTACAATATTCGCGTTGAAGAGGGACCACAAAAAAACGGGTAAAGGCTGTGTGTCCCGACTCCCAAGCCTGGTGTCTGGTTTGTTGAGTGTTTGAGGCTTTAAACCCCCAAGAAACACTGGCACCAGGCCCGGAGCTCCGTGTCAGAGTGAGCGTACCAGCATGTGCAAGTGCACAGCGGGACGAAGGAGAGGAGGGAGAAGGGTCAGCGATCGATTGATGGATTGATTCATTGATTGGCCGACGAAAACCAACCCCTCATGATCCTACTCTGCCCGGTCCAAATCTCTTCCATCTTGCCTGTTTGTGTCCCATAACTCTTATCGACCAGGTATTCTCTCCCACACACACACACATACACACACGCCTCGCTCGCTCAGCCGACACGCTCGAGCATTGAAGAAACCAACAAATAGCTTGGCACAGGCGAGTGGATCAACATCATTGTCAGGTTGCGTTCCTTTCAGCTACGCTGCGTTGCCTTCGTTGCGTTATGTTTGCCCCTTGCTGTTTCCGTTGCTGTTTCCGTTTCCTTGACAGCTTCTATTTATTCCATAGGTAGCTGTGCCCTAGCCCGGTCGGACCCCTCATCTCACCCGTTCTCCCCAAACTTTAACTCTCTTACTGTACGAAGTACTGCTTCATCAGACCCTGGGCCGTCTTGGTTTATTTCATATATATATACATCGTATATTTATTTACCTTGTTCTATTCGGGTACACCTTGTTCGGCTCCGTATACTTGCAGCCGTACCCTGCATCACTGGCCATCCTTCCGTTCCAACTGGGGCAATCCCATGTCTCTCTCTCTCTCCCTCTCCTCTTTCTTGCTGTTGGCAGGTGTGAGACGAGGTATGAGGTGAGTAGAGGAAAAGGGACGGAGAAGTCCCTGTCAGAGAAGGCAGGCACCTTACCACGCTCACCTCATGTTGGTGGGGGACCACCTGCCACAGACTGGGATTGGGAACTCAATCAACCCATCCATTGTGGGGGCTAGCTAGATGCACGGATCACTGCGTTGAATTGAGGGGCAACCACGTCGGCCTTCCCCTCAGCAGCTTCCCACCCACCAGGGGGGGGTGAAGTTCAACGAGGGGCAAGCGTGGCGGCCACCAGAAGAGGAGGCCAGAAGAAGAAAAAAGAAAGGGAAAAAAAAAAAAGAAGCACCGACATCACCTCCGAGAACTAGCAAGTGCAGAGACCAGACTAGGCCAGACAGCACAGCTTCAGTCGTTTGGGCCAAGAGCAAATTGTTGCTCGCCCTCTCCCCTCGTGTCTCTCCTGTCTTGGTCTTCAACAAATACCTACCTGAGGCTTGCTGTGTTGCTGCATGAATCCTAAAATTGTAACCTTGAGACGTCCGACAACCCCGTCCGTTTCTCCCTTTTCCGTATCTATTTGTGTGCCTCCTCTCTCCCTCTCTGTTCCATCTCTATAGGTACTACTAGTCTACTACCCAGTACCTAGCTTAAACAACCTTGCCTCCATCCCTCACTCCATCTGGTCTCGGCCACCCCACTCCTGGCAGGATTTAACAACTGCATCGGACCCCTCCCTCATCGTCTCGTCTCGTCTCGCCCGTCTCCAGCAGCTAAGAAAAGAAAAACCCTCCCCAGCTTCACATCTTCTCTCCCGTTGATACCCTTTCATTCCTCTCCTCCTCACCAACACCTCCAAAACCACACTACCAGTACATCCCATACACTCACGATGGCTGCCACCGCCAAGGACCACCTCGATGTCGGCGGCAAGATCGCCTGGCTCTCTAGCCTCAACACAGCCTACCAACCCGAGAAGAACTACCGTCGTTCTTCCATCATCTGCACCATTGGCCCCAAGACCAACTCTGTTGAGGCTATCAACAAGCTGCGCAAGGCTGGTCTCAACGTCGTGCGCATGAACTTCTCGGTAAGGCCCGTCCTTTTGTCCCGGACCCGACCCCCTTCCCAAAATCCCTCACCCCGCTGACCCTTCTTCCTTCCCGCAGCACGGCAGCTATGAGTACCACCAGTCCGTCATCGACAATGCCCGCGCCGCCGAGAAGGCCCAGCCTGGCCGTCAGATTGCCATTGCCCTTGACACCAAGGGCCCCGAGATCCGTACCGGAAACACAAAGAACGATGAGGACCTCCCTATCTCCGCCGGCAAGGTCCTGAACTTCACCACCGACGAGAAGTACGCCACGGCTTGCGACACCGACAACATGTAATTCCCCCTCCTCTTCGCTGTTTGCTCTTCAGTTTGCTTATTCCCTCTTGTTCGCAGGTATGTCGACTACAAGAACATCACCAAGGTCATTGAGCCCGGTCGCATCATCTACGTCGACGACGGTGTCCTTGCCTTCGACGTCCTCAAGGTCAAGGACGACCAGACCGTCGAGGTCCGCGCCCGCAACAACGGCTTCATCTCCTCCAAGAAGGGTGTTAACCTGCCCAACACTGATGTTGACCTGCCTGCCCTCTCTGAGAAGGACAAGAACGACCTTCGTTTCGGCGTTAAGAACAACGTCGACATGGTCTTTGCTTCGTTTATCCGCCGCGGTCAGGACATCAAGGACATCCGCGCTATCCTTGGCGAGGAGGGCAAGCACATCCAGGTCATTGCCAAGATCGAGAACCGTCAGGGTCTCAACAACTTTGAGGAGATTCTTGCCGAGACTGACGGTGTCATGGTTGCTCGCGGTGATCTCGGTATCGAGATTCCCGCAGCCGAGGTCTTCGCTGCCCAGAAGAAGATGATTGCCCTGTGCAACAGAGCCGGCAAGCCCGTCATCTGCGCCACCCAGATGCTCGAGTCCATGATCAAGAACCCCCGCCCCACCCGCGCCGAGATCAGCGACGTCGGCAACGCCATCACCGACGGCGCCGACTGTGTCATGTTGTCTGGCGAGACCGCCAAGGGCAGCTACCCCAACGAGGCCGTTTCTGAGATGCACGAGGCTTGCCTCAAGGCTGAGAACACCATCCCCTATGTCTCCCACTTCGAGGAGATGTGCACCCTCGTCAAGCGCCCCGTCAGCATCGTCGAGTCCTGCGCCATGGCCGCCGTCAGGGCTTCCCTCGACCTCAACGCTGGTGGTATCATTGTCCTCTCCACCTCTGGAGAGTCTGCCCGCCTGCTGTCCAAGTACCGCCCCGTCTGCCCCATCTTCATGGTCACAAGAAATGCTGCGGCATCCCGCTATGCTCACTTGTACCGCGGAGTGTACCCCTTCCTGTTCCCCGAGGCCAAGCCTGACTTTTCCAAGGTCAACTGGCAGGAGGATGTTGACCGTCGCATCAAGAGGGGCGTTGAGCACGCTTTGGAGCTCAACGTTGTTAGCAAGGGCGATACCCTGGTCGTCGTCCAGGGCTGGAAGGGCGGCATGGGTAACACCAACACCCTGCGTATTGTCAAGGCCGATCCTGAGCACCTCGGCATTGGAAAGTTGTAATTGAGTCGCCGTTGATGAATGGGAAAGAAAATGAGGCTGCCCGCCGGCGTGTGGGAAATACCGAAGTACCTAGTTAAACCGTGATAGACGATGATGGGCCCTTTGCCCCGGGACACGAGTATGATTTGCACACATGAATAAAGTTGACTTTACCTTGCCAATACATCCCCTACATGTGGTGCATGGGCTTACTCCCTTCTTTCGTACGAAGCTGCGATAAGAGGAGACATGTTCGGGCGATGAATAAGCTCCTGTAACGAGCAAAGTGCATGATGGAAAGGACCAAGCTCGGCATAGCACAGAAGGGAACGGGTGCTGAACAGCCGATGATGGGAATAATGACAGGGCAGTAACTCAAACCCAGCTTCTTTCGACGTCTTCGCTACCGCGTCGGGATGTCCTAGCCCGGCCTGGACCGGATGATGCATGATGAGCTTCGCGGATGAGGAGGGGAAGCATGAGGAGGGGAAGCATGAGATGAACGCCGTGCGTTTCGGTTGCGGAGGATGTTGGAAGGGTTCGGCGAAGCCACTCAGAGAAAAGATCAGTCTTTGGATGTCAGGCACGCACGTTCTATTACAGAAAGAGTACGGCGTCCGTAATCTGCCGGAAACTGTACGGCAAAGTCTTACATCCAATCTTTCCCTGGGTATTCACCCTAGAAAGCGAGAAGGTTCCATTCCACGATTGTCCATGTTTGGACAATGACTGCTCGTCGAGCTGCAGTGAATCCCGATAAACGCATATATGAGTAAGAGTTATGCAGATGGGTATCATGTAGATGCCTTGACAGTGAAAAGAAATGTACATATTATTAGTGCACTGTGTGGAGGCGCAGCGTTTTTGACATCACTTTACCACCTTTCGCCAGGCAAAGAAGAAAATGGAATGGGGGAAAAAAAAACATAAACCCCGCGATGATGCACTGTCGCACGGTGCTGGTTCAGGTGTCGCTCTGCCCCGCCATGAATTCCTGAAAGCTTCACTCACTTAACCCCGCGTCGCACACACGTCACGTCCAACCCGACCAGAACTACGAGTACAAAAGTGGCCGAACCACTCTATTCTTGTCATTTCCTATCTCAACTTTCGAGAATCAGTCAAAATGGCGGCCCCCGTTCCCACCAACTTCAACGCCCAGGATGCGGACAACCTCGAGGATGTAAGTACCACCCATCCCTTGCCCATTTTTTCCCCCTTCGCTATACGCCTCCAAACACAACGAATGCGCTGACCCATTTTGCGTCTAGATCGAGAAGCAGTTCGCAGTCAAGGGTGTGTATACCGCGCTGCCGTGCGCCAAGTGTGCATCCTATATCGCAAACAGGAGCTAATCAGCCTTTCTGCTCCGCAGTCGTCCAGCACATGGAGACCTACTGGAACATATTGGAGAAAGTCAAGGGCTCTTCGCTGCGCCTGACCAAGATTGACGACGAGATCTACGAGCACCTGCAGAAGGACTTTCCCGAATTCGACCCATCCGCCACGATCAACGAGGACGAGATGAAAAGCAAGGACGGCAAGGAGCGTTGGCGAAAGTTCATGATGGCCTACGAGAAGAAAGTTGACGACTACAACTTCGGCACCATGGTCCGCGCTAATCCCAAGTTCGAGTACGGGCAGAACGAAGTCATCTTTGGTGAGTTTTGTCATTCTCGGCCTCGTGGGATTGCGCCAACTGACTGAACCTTTTGTCTAGTACCTCGCATGCAGTTCTACGCCATCGAGATTGCCAGAAACCGCAAGGGCCTGAACGACTGGATCTACGAGAAGGCACAATCGGCCAAGGCCTCCAGCTAAACGGTTCCAGTTTCATCCGTTCCTTTCGGTTGTGCAAACGATGACCGAAACAAATACCGACCACGACGCCGTTGACATGCTTGACGTGCACTCCGTAAACCTCGGTTCGAAAGTGCTTCGCCCGAGGTCGACGGACCACGCAGTAGACAGGGCCGACTCTTGATCGACTGAGTAGAATGGCTCGCGCTTCCGAGCCAGGGGTTCGATAGGATGGGGTCTTCTTTCGGGCGAGGTCATTCTGCCGACTGCGTGTTACGGCCCTCCGGTCTCGCCACGCACATAGTACTCTTCTAGGCTACTGGGATGTGGCAGAGACTGAGTGAGACAGTTCGTGCTTGGATAACAAATTTTCCACGTCGCTCTGATTGAAAGTCATCTCCAGCACCAAAATACAGGGCCTGCCTAGTTTAACCACAATTCATGAGAGAAACATTGCCAACGTTACCGTCATGCGCACGGTGTCTTTTGGACCTACCTACAGGTCATGAGTGGTGAATGAGAGTTGAAAAGACCTGGCTGCGGAGCTGGAGCTCATCGAAGGTGCCCTCATCTACCACACGGCCGGCTTCCATCACGATGATATGTTGAGCTATATGCATCATTTCCCTGCTATGGGTTGCAACCACAATGCTCATCCCACCATCCTCCGCGCCTGCCAAGATACCAGTGATGGTCTGTCGAATCCCTTCTGCTGACAAGCTATCCAGGGCGCTCGTCGGCTCGTCCATGATCATGAGCCGCGGCCGTCGTGCCAGCGCCCTGGCTATGCAGACTCGCTGTGACTGCCCTCCAGAGAGGCCCTGGCCGCCGTCGTCGATGACGGTGTCATAACCCCGGGGAAAGGAGACGATGAGGTTGTGGATCCCCGCCTCCCGCGCAGCCCTTCTCACGTTGCTCCTATGGCGCAATGGTGAGGCTTCGGCCAGTCCGTATGCAATGTTATCTGCTACCGTCGCAGGGAAGAGATATGGCGTCTGTGGCACATAGGAGATGTGCGAGTAGAACTGCTCTCCATATATCTGGTCCAACGCTACACCTCCATACGTAAGCTGGCTCGACTCCATCCCGCCTGTTGAATGCAGCCGATGGGGTTCATACAACCTCATGAGAAGAGACATGACGGTACTCTTGCCGCACCCGCTTGGTCCCACTATCGCCACACACTTCCCGTTGCCAATGCCCAAGTTGACACAACGCAGGGTTTGGCGCGAGGGCTGCGAAGGATAGGCAAAATCAAAATTACGCATTGTGATGGGAAATAACGATGCTGGCTGCCCGGGGTCACCCTTTGACGGGGAGCTTGGCTCCGGGAGCGTCGCGAAGTAGAGCACGCGAGTCGCCGCGGCTTGCGATGCTGATACTTGCGGCATCATCGCCATCAAGGCGGTCGCCTGGCCAATACAGAAAAGAAGAAGGTTTGCCACCTTCTGAAGGCTGCTTGGTGACATCTCGACTTCTTGGGCCGTCAGATACATCCCTACCAGCCAACGGGTGCAACAATGAAGAAGTCGGTGCATTGAATAAGACCGAAGAGCGGTCCCAAGTACAGCCCTCTCTGCAGCCCGAGTCTATATGTCGATTTGACCAACTGGGCATGCCTCTCGCTAAAGTGCCATTCCAGGGTGAAAGCCCGGACACAACGGATGTTAAGCGTTTCATGCATGACCGACGCCGTCTCTGTTGCCCCCTCGTTGCAAACTGCCTCCCACTTGGTTCCGACAATAGACAGGCCCGTGGCAGCAGTTATAACGACAGGCAAACTGGACAGGGCCACCATTGTGAGCTTCCACGAGATCGACAGTGCCCAGGTGATCGATATGGTGGCCATCACTACAACCATAGCAACGACGGGCATGAAGCGCGATAACAGATTTCTTATCTCTTCTGCATGCCTGTCCAAGCATTCGCCAATGTCGCTTGCCGAGTTTTTGGGATCATCGAACCATGATTTTGGTTGTCGAAAAACGCCCCTTCATCGCTTCCAGACGAAGAGCGTTTGCCCAAGCCTGACCAACGTGTTCCATAAGGTACCGTTCTAGAAATATGGACACCCCGCTGATGATAGCAACCATGATCAGACAGGTAGCCCATTCTCGACCAGCAGTAACTTGGTCTCCAGCGGCCCAGAATGTCGCAAGAAGTTGAGAAAAGCAAAAGGAGAACACCGGCGTACAAGCTGCAGCGATGGAGCAAAACACCAAGCCCACAATGAGCCTGAGCTTGTTTTTGCAAGTCAAGTTGGGCAGTATTGTTAGGATGACTGCCCAGATGGCCCAATCTTCGTGTACACTCCACAGGGCAGAGATAAGAGAGTGGACTGCAGAAGAGACATGTCGCATGCTGCTCTGACAGAGTCTGCTGTTGCCGACTGACCCAAGGCAACGTTCCATAGGAATGTGTTGTCAAAGAGTTGGCTGCCTTGCTGAACCAGGGTAACGTTCTTCCGCACCCATTCTTTTTCCAGTGTCTCGAGTGGTCGTCCGTCGATGAGTATCTTGCCCAGGAAAGTCTCGTATAAGTTGACCAGGAGGTTACCTAACGTGCTCTTCCTAGAGCCGCTACTCCCCAGTATGAATCGGGTTTCACCGGCAGGGAAGTAGAAAGAAGACCTATCCAAAACCATTTTGTGCGGTTGAGATGGATATGCAAAGCTCACCTGAGAATTTCAGCTGATCAAATCATTGTAGCACATCTTTGAGAACTACTCACTTGCTTCACTTGCACTTCACCAACACACTAACTGGGAATCAAAACGGCTGCAGGCTTTCCTTGTGGGCCCTTTGCCAGTGGTCCTCGCATCATCTGCCTGAGATTTTGACCTGCAGATATGCCCCTGGCAAGCACATCGTACTGGGGAAGCACGTCGAAGACGCCCTCTAGTGCTGTAGGGTAGCGTAGAACGTTGTGATGATCGTCGCGGAGTTCTCTCCTTTCGTCACGAGCCAAAGACCAAACCAGAAGCCGCCAACGAAGAGCAAAGAGACCCAGCCCCCTGTGACAGATATATGAAGAGCATTGCAGCGGGCTTGCACCAAATACTGGTTTACAGAAGCATCCATGATCTTACTTTACGCCCGTATCTCTTGGCTGCACCCGTTGAATACCTTGACTAGGTCTATTGCGGCGACGCAGGCGTGAACTTGTTTGGAAGCATCGGCGAGGTGCAGATTTTTCTGAGCAATTGCAGACTGAAGTCTCTGGTTAATCAACGCCAGAGAAATAACTTTCGATGGCACGGTAGCAATAAGCACGAGTGTTAGCTTCCAGGAGAAGCCCAAGGCGAGGGCAAAGGATGCAATCGAGGTAACGGCCCCGGTGAAAAGAAACCCAAGGACTTGGGACGTCGCAGTCTGCAGTTCGCGGATTTGCCTAGCGGAGGTCAGAAAGGATGTCAATATGCAGGGACTGGCATGATTCACGTTTCGATTCTAACGAGGAGGCTGGGTATGCCGTCCGCCTGCTTATCGTACCAGCTCATGTCTCGGGCAAGCAGCTTCCCAAATATCCTCTCTCGCGCATCTTTTGCCTGAAGTTCACCAAAGACCACCCGGCTCTTTAAGAGAATTGTGTTACCGACAAAGACCCCTAGTGCGAGGCAGCAGATTGTGATACCCAGTCGTGAGGTTTGAAGGATGGTGTCTGGTGTGATCGACAATCCAGCGCCATAGTCCGAAACGACTTGGAACATTCGATCGAGAACCGCTGCGAGAGCTGTACGCAATGCAGCACAGATAAAAGCCGCGACAATTCCGGTTCCTATGATCGGAAGGTGTTGATGATTGCAGAATGTAAAGAGATGCGTCCAGGAGGGCTTACATTGTGACGCTGGATATTGAGTGTGCTCTTGAGGGTGACCCATGACGACGAAAACTTCAAGGTTGAACAAAAATACACGCTGCTGCAGACGATGTATCAGGCGTGCTTTGGTGGTAAGTGATAGACCATGACGTTTCTGAAGTTGTTGAGCAAGCGTGTGTAAGAGAATTGGTTTGAGGCAACACCGAGTGCAGAACGATGGTGTTGTCGCAGCAAGACAGAACGCAACGCACTCGGCTGGATCGGCGATTCCCAACAAGGCTGGAAGGGCTGGGCGAGTCTTTCTAAGGCCTCAAGTTCCGGTTTAACTGTCGCTATTGAAGGTGATGTACTCGGATCGCCAGCATATTTTAATAAGGCCGTTTTCAATGTGAGGGAGGGTAGCTAAATGCATTAAAGGGCAGTCAGACCAAAGATCGGGGTTGGTCGGTTCCTTCGAGTCGATAGTCAAGGCTTGGGATTCAAAGGAAGATACGCTGTCTAGAATGGCGAGGTTCAATGCTCCTTTTGTCACGCGGCCATATTTGCCAGGGACAGCCGGGCCCTCCTTGCATAGCTCTGCCAAAGAGATGGTCGTCGAAGACAGAGCCCGGAGAGTCGGCGTATAAAGGGGAAGAATAACCATAGCACGGGTTGCTACTTCGGTTCTTTGGGACTGATGTGAGCCAATTGCTTGTGACCACACCACTTGCATGTCTCCGGGACGAGATGAACCATAGTTCATCGCTGCCAAGACCTCACGGAAGAGGAAAAGGCCAGCCATTGTTCGTGTCTGCCCAAGGTAGATGCAGTCAGTCGAGGCGCGTCTCTCAAATAGGGTTCAAGAACTGAGGCGGCAAAGGAATAGCCAGAACCCCACGATAAAGAAAAAGAGGCTAGAGGAGGGGGATCCAGCTTGAGATGCTTCAAGCACCTAGGGGTTCCTGGAGTACGTAGGTGGATGTTGTTGGCTTCTGTTGATCGAAGTAGGACGTACCTTACTCGGATATATGCAGATACAAAGCCGGCATGTCCTAGAAGAAAACACTGCAACAGTTAAAGGGAAGCAGGAAGGTATGCAGGAACCTATCTACATAGGTAGGTACCGTGGCTATTGCGTCTGCCGACCTCCTTCCAATGGCGTTCGTGACTGCCTCACTTATGATCCTGCCCCTTCCATTTAAACCCAACGTTCCTGGCGTACCAGGTAGGTAGGTGGGGGTGCCTTCCTCTTCGTGATTTTTGGTATCCTGCCCGATTAGCTCGCTCGTGGCTTGTTTCGTTTTCAACTTTCACCCGTCGATGGATTCTGCCCTCCTCCCGACGCGTTGGTTGACCAGCATCATCATCATCACCACTCTTATTCTTGTTCTGTCCTCCATATCGGCTTGAGCTATCGTCGAGTGTAGGGACTGGGTTGCGCTTCTTCGTCGCAATAACGCAAGTTGACATCTGCCAATATCAATAAGGATTTCTCGCATCCACCCCATCCTCTCGCATCCTTCCCGACATTCCTCTTTCAATACTTTTCCTTGCTGCCCCTAAAATGCAGTGGCACGCAGTTCAGTACGACGACAAAGATATCGCACCCCTCATGTCCAACGCAGTCTTCCGCCTCACCCAGCCTGGCGGGTCTTTCCAGACCGGAGGTCCAGTGATCTCTCGTGTCTCCCGTGTCAAGACTGCCACTGGTGAGTCTGCCACTTCCCCTTAACCTTTAACTTCCGGCTTGGAAGTCATTGACGTGACACATTAGTGACCATCACTGCCACCGACACAAGCCAAACAACAGTCCTGGACAGCGGCTCGTCGGTGCCGTTGTCGCCCAAGGACACCCCCACTGTCACCGCCTCGCCCATGCTTTCCGCCACCTCAACGTTCATCGCTACGACGGCGACAGCTCCGTCAACCGAAGCGATCACTCCCCAGCCCACATCGACTGATTCCACTCCGGCGGCGTCCCAGGTATCGCTTCCGGTCACTACCCTTATTGCCATCATCGGCGGCACAATTGGGGGCATCCTTTTTCTTGTCTTCTGCATTGCTGTCGCTCAGGCCTTCGCGCGCCGAAGACATATCATCCACCAGGAGACCGAGAGTCCCGGCCGCGCCACCAACACTCTCGAGAAGGGAAGTACTCCCGGCGGACAGCAGCAACACCGCGTCAACGACGGCAACATCAGCATCCCGCACCCCTCGCCGAGTGCGCATTCGGAGCTCAACATAGCTCAGCCATATCAGACGGCTTGCATTGTTCCCGATGCCAATGTTGGAACCTGGCCAGCCGCGCATGACTTACATCCAAAACAGGTCATTGCCGAGCTTCCCGCTGCGTCCCACGCCGGACACTCACAACATGATCATCGAGGATGACTTGAGCTGGAAGAGCCCGATGAGATATTGTCAACGAAGTAACTAGGCTAGGGCCTGAACAGAGAAGGAACATTAACGAATTTCCAGGCTCATTTGAATCACTGCGTTGGGCTATACCGTTGACTCGTGACCAGTCTGGGTATGCTTGGACATCTCACAATACCCACTCCGATAGTATTTGGGACCAATCAAGCGCCCTCAACTCACATCCGCTTTGGGCCGTTATCGGCTTTTGGGATTTATGGCGGGTTTGAGATTAGACATTGGCAATCCACGTGGGTTGTACAGGGGAGGATGGAAAGACTTGAGTGGCGGTCAAATGAAGGCTCGGAGAGAATTGTTAGATAACCGTCCCAATGAGGTCTCAGGCGACGAGTCAAGGCCCGGCGGGAATTGAACGGTAATGAAATTGATGTCATACTGACCCAGTGTTAAGAGTCTGAGCAACACCCGTTATCTTGGGTCACACACGCAACTTTGTGGTAGACTGACCGACCTCTGGCTTCCCCGGGAATAGAATGGGGAAGAGAAAAAGACGCACACCGTGTGCTGCCCCAGCTGGGCACTCGACACTAGGTAGCTACCTAGTGTATGGGGTAGGTGGGTAGCGCAGACGAGCTCGGCCAATGCTGTACGCTTGGTCCTGACACTAATGTCTCCTCCTATCAGCAAAGGGCGTCACGAAGCGAGGGAGCTGACGGTTTCCAACAGGGTGGGTATGGTATGCCCTACGAGGCCTAGTATTGTTGCGGGGCAGACAGCCCGGCCGATTCAGGATTCAGAGACTTCACGGAATCTTGGGGGTTTCTACAAACATGTTCAGAATGAGAATCATGCTTCGTATTTCCCATGAGAACGTCAAGACCCATTCAAGAACGGCAAAACAGACGACATAAAACGGAACTATCTGACAGGTCCATCAAGGAGCGGGAAGAATATCGATGCCGATTTCTGGACCTTGCAGGTCCCGGATAATGAGAAGAGGTTCAACCACCTAGACGAGGGCATGAGAGATAAACCAGTAGTCACCCTCCGTCTGTCCAATAACGAGCTTGCCGAGTACCCTGTGGACTGAGTAGGATCGCACCGCACTCAAGTTCCACCTCTCTTCGTCCCAATCCCTGGGCTTGGTCTGGGACTTCAGGACCACCCAGCAATCGCAGTAAGTGCGACCCCATGGGGCCTAGATCCTGCATCGTTTGGAAGTCCACATCACCGGCCATTGTACGGGAATGCCTGGCTTATACAAACAAACAATAAATACTCTGCTGGTCGCCAATACAATGACATTCCGTAACTTCCTCGATGGTAACTTCACCAAGTTTTCAACCCCCCGTCACCAACCCAGCTTTATCGTTCTTTGCGCATTCGTGGGCCTAAGGTCATGGGTTCTGCGTAGGCTCTTATACGAACTCGGCCCCCAGGTTCGTTCCCTTTGAGGTCAAAAACGTCATCGACACTTGCGGTCATCCCGCTTGATATCTCAGTCATGATCAATGGAAACAGAAACCAAGATAATGAAAAGGCTACCGGAGATTCGAGGGCAACCGACACGTTACCGATTCCACATGGTGGCTGTGGGACAGCCGGGAGCTCTCCTCGTCTTGACGACAACAGCCCCATCATTTATCGATATCTGACTTTCGATACGCTTCTTCCCGAGTTGGCGGACATTTCTTCTCATCAGTCAATCGAGTCACAATCAAAACCGGCGGTTCCTGACCTGACCCGGTATACGTCTCCTCTAGAATGGCCTCAAGCGCGTAAATACCTGATGCTGGCGCTTTCGTCTATTGCCACCTTTCTCACGGCCTACACCGCCGGCTCATACTCCCCGCCCTCGTCTATTATGGCCGATGACCTCGACACTTCGCAGCTCAAGGTTTTGGTGGGGATAACAACCTTCTGCATCGGGTTTGCACTCTCACCCATGGCACTGGCACCCCTCTCAGAGATCTACGGCCGCTACCCAGTTTTCGTCATTTCTGGAGTGATTTATGTCGTTTTCCAGGCCGTTTGTTCCGTTGCGCCGAACCTAGCTGCTATGCTCATCGCGAGATTTCTTGTTGGTGTCGGTGGCTCTGTCTTCAGCTCCGTCATTGGCGGTGTCATCGCAGATATGTGGGCAAAGGACCAAAGGAATATGCCTATGGCCCTCTTCAGTGGCGCGGTGCTCGCTGGCACGGGGGCTGGCCCTTTGGTTTCATCCATCATGGTGAAGCGAATGGGTGCTGAGGATGCGACGAGGGCTTGGAAGTGGATATTCTGGCACCAAGTCATCATCGGCACAGTGGTTGTTGTTGCTCTCGCACTTCTCTTCGAGGAGAGTCGAGGGTCAGTGGTTCTTTCGAGGAAAGCTAAAGCATTGAACGATTGGTACCAGGCCAGGGAAGAATCGGGCTATTATGGCGTGTGGTCCGAAGGCACCACGACCAGCAACGGAGACACAGACGCGACTTCAGACTCGAACGATACCCGGCATAGCTCTTGTACTACTGGACCGGAAAAGGCATGTCCGACTTGCCGCTCGAGTCGACCGTACTCGGCCCAGTTCGAGCCCCGGAGATTGCGGTGGCTGGTCAAAGAAGACGAGGAACGAGCATCTCTGGCCAAGCTCGTGTCCGTTTCCATCTCGCGCCCATTCCACCTGCTTTTCACAGAGCCGGTTGTGTTCTTCTTCTCCCTTTGGTGTGCTTTTGCCTGGGCCGTCCTTTATTGTACATTTGGGAGCATTCCCTTGGTCTTTTCACGTACGAGACACCTAGATGTCGAACAGTCAGGCTACTTCTTTAGTGCCATGATAGTTGGGTCTGCAGTGGCGACAGTTGTCGGTGTCTTTCAAGATAAGCTGCTCCAATTGCCTCAGTGGCGGGCCGACGGCCCTACAGACGAGTCTTCGCGGTTCTGGCGCTTCATGCGACGCCGTTTTCCCGCCGAGGCCCCCGAATCGCGCTTGTACTTCACCTGCATTTCGGCTACACTGCTGCCTGCCGGTCTCTTCCTTTTTGGCTTCACCTCGAAGCAAGAGTTTCATTGGATAGCTCCGGCCTTTGGCATTGGTCTAGCAACCTGGGGCATTTACTCGGTATACCTGGCCACTTTCAACTATTTCGCCGATATCTACAACCAATATGCGTCCTCAGCACTCGCTGCACAATCATGCTGCCGGAACATTCTGGGTGGTGTATTCCCGCTCGTTACAGGCGCCTTGTTTCGGAATCTAGGGGAAGAACGCGCGGGTGCGCTATTAGGCAGCATTGCCGCTGTGTTGTCCATTATTCCATGGACACTTGTGTTTTTCGGCGAACAGATTCGTAGAAAGAGTCGGTTTGCTACAGTAAGTATAACCTATCTTGTTCTAGATGATAAGAGAATGTAAAGGCTAACAGAACTAGGTACTACATTCTCAGTGAGGCAGCTATCCCAGTAGCTGTTCGAGGTCAAACAAGATAAACAGGCTGTAGGAGCTGCCAGATAAAAGCTACGAAATGCTATATTACATAGAATTATAAATCCACTATGGGAACTTAGAAGCAATGCTGTCATCGGCGTGAGGGTAGACTAGTCGGCCCAACTCTCGTGCACACGATCGGAGTCAAAGTAGACTTAATCGATAGAGAATTCCATTCTCAGATCTAATCCACCGGAAGAGACGAAGAAAAGTCACGCTGGCAGAGGCAAAGTAAAAAAAAACTGATAGTGCGTGCAAGAGATAGTTAAGTTCGCTGCCTTGATGGTAATGATGAGTCTGCTGCTGCTGCTAAAATACAAAGGAAAAAGTTGGCCTCGGTGGCCTGAGGCTGTTATGTACTGCCTGTCTTCCACGCTCATGTCCATATCACCCTATTCCAAGACTCAGCTCAGAAAGCAACTGTTTGAATAACCTATTTATATGCTATACATATGTATACATATGTATATATGACGCGTAGGAACAAAAGGAGCATTTTAGATTCTGCTATGGCTGTATGTAGACGTGTTGATGCTGCGCCTATCGGTCGCCGCACTGCCCTCGGTGTGGCTGGCCCGACGTCCGATGTCGCCCGTGGGGAATTTTTTCTATGTACTTCCGGTTCCGTTCCTCGGGTACTCACTTGCTTGAAACTCTGTCCGTTAAACCCATCCACCAAACCAGCCCTCAGCTCCAACTCCGGACGCCAATTGACGCTCACCATGTCTGTCAGAACTCTGCGAATCGGTAGGATCACCTTTAGCAACCGCAATTGACGATTCCGTCATCCAATGCGCTCCTCCCCGCAACCCCCAACACCGTCTAACACCAGCCAGGCCTCATCCCCGGTGACGGCATCGGCAAGGAGGTCATCCCCGCCGGCCGCCGCGTCCTCGAGGCGCTCCCCTCCTACCTCGGCCTCAAGTTCGAGTTCACCGACCTCAAGGCTGGCTTCGAGACGTTCGAGCAGACTGGTGCCGCTCTCCCCGACAAGACGGTCGAGGTCCTGAAGAAGGAGTGCGATGGCGCCCTCTTCGGCGCCGTCTCCTCCCCGACCAACGCCGTCAAGGGCTACTCCTCCCCCATCGTCGCCCTCCGCAAGAAGCTCGACCTCTACGCCAACGTCCGCCCCGTCAAGACCGTCCTGACCGCCGCCAAGCCCATCGACATGGTCATCGTCCGCGAGAACACCGAGGACCTCTACGTCAAGGAGGAGAAGACGTACGACGGCCCCGACGGCAAGGTCGCCGAGGCCGTCAAGCGCATCAGCGAGCGCGCCTCCCACCGCATCGCCGCCATGGCCGGCGAAATCGCCCTCCGCCGCCAAAAGATCCGCGACGCCGGCGCCGCCAGCATCCACAAGTCGCCCCTCGTCACCATCACCCACAAGTCCAACGTCCTCTCCCAGACCGACGGCCTCTTCCGCGCCACCTCCAAGCTCGCCCTCTCCGACCCCCGCTTCGCCTCCGTCGCCGTCGAGGAGCAGATCGTCGACTCCATGGTCTACAAGCTCTTCCGCCAGCCCGAGGACTACGACGTCATCGTCGCCCCCAACCTCTACGGCGACATCCTCTCCGACGGCGCCGCCGCCCTCGTCGGCTCCCTCGGCCTCGTCCCCAGCGCCAACGTCGGCGAGGGCTTCGCCATCGGCGAGCCCTGCCACGGCAGCGCCCCGGACATCCAGGGCAGGAACATCGCCAACCCCATCGCCACCCTGCGCAGCGCCGCCCTTATGCTCGAGTTCCTCAACGAGGAGGCCGCCGCCGCCAAGATTTACGCCGCCGTCGACGCCAACCTCGAGGAGGGCAAGCTCCTCAGCCCCGATCTGGGCGGTACTGCCAAGACTGACGAGGTTGTCGAGGACATTCTCCGCAGATTGTAAGAAAAAAAAACCCATAAAACCATAAAACCATAAAACCGAAAAAAGTGGAGAAAAGAGAAGAGAAGATATATAGGAGAGGCAGGCTCGTACGAGGACTGGATATGGCAGTCGACGCGGCAGTAGCTGCACCCTTGATACCTACCATACTACCAAAAGCACATGTTTCTGACCTCCTTGGTCTTGTCTTTTACTTGTTAAAATGGGTTAAAATGCTATAGTGAAGTCACAGGGAATGGGCAATATGATGTCCTTGCTTTTACTAGTAGATTGGACTAATGTTGAAGTACGTGTACGGCTGTGATGATCCTTGTTTGACTGCTTATGATAGCATTCTTATCATGACCCTTCAACCTCATAGTACGGATAGTTAGGATATCATTCTGATAGTTTTTCCGACGTACGGACCAAAAAGTATCTTTTCGACGCTCCTAGCGCAAACAGACTCTACACATAAATAATCAAGGATATGCGCCACTAATACACCTACTTTTGAAACATCTGGAGACTCTAAAGTGCCTCAACAGTCCTGAGCAAAACTTCGACACCGCGCTTTGCCACATCCTCGCCGCCTTTAAGCAGGGACGATACGTCGCTTAGAACGCCAAGGGGAATGTAGCAACCTGATTTGGCCTTCTCCAAGCTCTCCTTAAGCCTGCTGGTATGTTCCCATTCCCTGGCTGCTACCTCAGCACGCTCAATTACACGGCTGGAGATGCCGCACATGGCTGCGCAGTGCATTCCGAAACTGCCCTGGGCAACACCATCTTCCAGCTTATAGAGGAACGTCACACGACGTTGCTCCTCGTCTACGTGGATTTGCATCCGGCGCGGTCGAATCTCGGGGTGGTTCTCAAACTCTGCAGCGAGTGAATGGTAGTGAGTCGCAAAGAAGCCCACACAGCCCACATGTGTCGCTACATGATGCAAGACTGCCTGCGCAACCGCTACACCATCGTAGGAACTGGTTCCACGCCCTAGCTCGTCCAAGATGACCAACGACCGAGGCGTGGCCTCTGATAGGATCTTCTTTGTTTCCGACAACTCCACAAAGAAGGTCGACTGAGAAGCGAAAATGTTGTCGTTGGCTCCTAATCGTGACATTATTCGGTCGACAGGTGTCAATAGGGCGGAAGTTGCGGGTACGTAGCACCCAATCTGTGCCATAATGACGGCGATACAGGACTGTTCCGGTTAGCAATGAGCCTAGGGAGCAGTGACATGATTCTACTGACCATTCGCAATACAGTCGACTTGCCGGCGGCATTCGCACCTGTCAGAAGGTTGATCTTTGCAGAGCCGCCGCCAAGCTGGACATCGTTAGGGATGAAATCAGCCACAGCATTCAGCATGCAGGGATGACGCAGCTCCTCGAACTCGACAACACTGCGTTCCTGGTCGATGAATTGAGGCCGACAGCTCGGCTCACCCAGCGAGGACGACGCCTTTGCAAGACTAATAAGACAGTCAAGCTGTGAAATGATCCTTATCGACTGCGACCACGTCTCATAGTCTGCATCAAAGCGCCGGAAGAACCGCTCGGCAACCTCCTTCACGATCTGGGAGTGAGTTTCCTCCGCCTCCTGCAGCTGGCGCACCAGTTCTGTGAGCTCTTCGAAGTAGTATCGCTTGACACTTGAAGTTGCCGACATTTGACGCCAGCTGCTTGGCACCTTCACGGCCTTTGGGGCTTCGATCTGGTAGATTTCCTTGCCTACGTCGGTGAACTTCAGTGTCTTGCACTTCAGTTCCGATTTCTTCTTCCCAAGAAGCGCCTGCAACTCTTGTTTGATATCTTCGATGCGATCTTGGCTGTTGTCAAAGTCTTGCTCAATGCTTCGTTCAGGGATAAAAATTCTTTCGTCCCTGGCCTTCTTCCGATCGAACGCCGTCTTCCAGTAGGACAAAGGTTCGCTAAGATTGGGCATGGAAGCGAGAAGCCGGTCAACAAGACCATTGCCGCCACCAAACGAACCCAGAAGACTCATGGTGTACTCGATCTGTTCAAATCCCTCCAGGACGCGTACGAAGTCCTCCGGCTTGCAAGAAGCGGCATGTATTCTGGAAATGAGGCGCTCCAAGTCCGGCATCTTCGTCATTTGAGAGGTGAACTGCTCTCGTACGCCTCTGTCGGAGTTGAGCATGTCGACGGCATCCAGCCGCTCGTTGATCTTCTTGATGTCGCATAGAGGATGGCATACCCACTGGCGAAACAACCGTTTGCCGAATGGGGTGACACAACGGTTGAGAAGGGTGAAGAGGGTGCCTTCAGGCCCCCCGTTCACTGTGTTGGAGAAAACCTCCAAGTTGATGAGAGTCTGGCCGTCGAGGATAAGCGTACCATTACGCTGAATGGGGGTGTACCACTCAAAGTTACCCTGCGAAAGCAGGTCACCCTCCAGTTTCAATACTCTGAGGTATTGAACCAAGGCACCAAATGCAGACATGAGCAGATCCTTGTCCCTGGCTTGGGCCAGCGTCTCAGGCCAAGCCTCGTCAGGGCCATCTTCCGTGACAAAGTAGTCGCTGCTGTCTAGCTCCCGGCGAGTAGTATCGGCGTCCCAGAACTCACTGCCTGATTTGAGGTAGTTCCAAATGGTCATGGGCGATGTATTGTTCTTGAGTATCCGAAGCGCCTTTGTCGAAATGCGGGACTTTTCCAGGATAAGCTCTCTCGGGCTGATTTGGGCGACAAACGTCTCGAATTTGGTCAGATCAACATCATCCTCAAACTCTGAGATGAAGAATTGACCAGTCGCGCAATCCACAAATGTTATGCCGAACGCAGGCATGTCGTCGATGGTCGACTCCTTTATAGAGGCACAGTATGTGGCCAGATCGTCCTGCAACATGCTTCCATCAACGAGGGTACCGCCGGTCAAGATGCAAGCCAGCTCTCGGCGGATGATTTTGTCGACTTTCTTGTTCTTGGCCGAGGCGTCGTCCCTCTCTCTCATTTCTTTGCCAAGAGCGGACTCCATCTGATCAACTCGGGCGACTTTGTAGCCTTTGGCGACGAACTGATTGACCCACATGTCGAGAGAGCTCTCTGGGACGCCAACCATGCGCATATTAACACGGTCTGTAAGCTTCAGGTCAAAGAGCTGATGACCGATTGTGGCGTCATTCTCGTAGAGTTCATAGAACTTGCCCTTCTTGAAGAAGACGACGGTGTCCCACAGCTTTTGTTTGATCTCCCAATACTGCTTCTCGAAAGGAGAGAACTTGTTCCACGCCATGGGAGGTATATATACAGTGGAGGGGTCGTAGTCCGGATCGCCTGGAGGCTTCTTGTTGATGTCAATGATATTGGCTAGCCAAGGATACCTGTCCTCGGGCTCCTTCAGATGTGCCTTCTCTTTGCCTTTGAGTGTCGTATGACGACGGGCTGTTGGCTTAGAAGCGGTCCGGGTTCCGGCCTGAGCCACGCTGTCTGGGTCGTAACGCCACTGTTGAGCGGTCGAGGTAGTTGGGATAGCAAGCATGGCTTCGTCAATGTCGTCATCATCATATTGCTCTTCCTTGGCTGGAGAAGATACATTCGATTTCTTCCGGGGCTGCGTTGTCTTTGTCTGCTCGCGGCGCTTACGCTTCTTCGATTGCGAAGGTGCATCCGACTCGTCACTAACAACGAAGTCAAGCATGTCTGGATAGAACATTAGGTTGTGGCTCGCGAAGGCTTATGGAGCATAACCAACCATCATCTTCATCGACTGGGCCATTGCTCCCAGCGTCCTCATAGTCATCGCCGTCGTCAACAATGGTAGCCGGCGTCTTGGTCCGGCGGCGGGTGCCTGATGCTCGAAGACGAACAAAAGGATCGTCGTCCTCATCGTCGGAGGGTTCGGCATAGTTGATTGGCTTTCTGGACTGAGGGACGCAAGAGTCAGGTCAGTGCGAGGGACAGACATGGCAGAGAGGATTGACACCGTACCTTTCGAGTCGGACTTGAGGATGGAAGAGGTGGTCTCAAATTGGTAGCCTGCGAAGTGATCTGTGAAATGACAGGCTCAGCTTGGGTGGACGGAGATGGCCAGGCGTCTCTAGTAGCTACCTTGACAGCGGAAGTGACCATATTCTCCTGTGAGCTCGCGGGCTCAATGGCATCGCTGCTCGGCACAGGAGTCGTGCTCGAGGGCTGCGGTGGTCTATGAAGAGTATTTGTTCGTGCCGACTCTCTCAAGCAGGGAGAAGAATCAGGGGCCGAAGTCGCAGGCTTGGAGGTGGAGCGAGAGGAGGCACTGGCAGGCTTGGAGAAGAACTGCACAATGGTCTTTTGGGTCCCGGCCGATGACGATGGTTGGCGCTTGAGTGTTGACGGGGTTTTGGCCGGTGTGCGTACGGCCGGAGAAGATCTCTCTCCCATGATGGCGTTCTGTGATGGAAACGATTGTTGTTGGGTAAAGAACGGGCTGAATCCGGAGACGGAAACGGAGACAGAAGGTAAAGGGTACGACGGTGGTGAAGCAGAAAGGCTTTTCAGGAGTAGCTCGACGAGTTGCAGTTGATCAACGGACAGACGGAAGGCCTACATTGCCATTGGGGGTGACGCGTTGATGGAAAGGCTAACACGTGAAAAGTCGCGTTGGAGGGCGCGTCTGGCATGGAGAGCCGCGCTTTGCGTTTAATTGAACGACCGGGGCTGGCGGTCCACTAAAAGGTAGGTACCTACGAGTACCTGTCTGGTGGTGACGCAAGGGCCACGGGTTGTGCGCCGTCTCCGCTCTTGCAAGCCCGATGCCTCCGATCCCCCCCACCTTCGGGAATTGTGGACTATTCTCCACTCATACCGGGGCTCCGTACTGCCATGTTCCAATACCGTCAGCCCGTTATCAGCTGTGACTGCAGAGTAAATATGACTTATACAACCCAGTCAACGGGACTGCCAAACACTATATGCTCCTATTTTCATTCTTTGCATGAAGACTAATCCATCTATGATGACTCTTATGTTTAATCTGGCTGTTATAGTACTCGGTCTTCCCTAAACTAGCTTACCTGCTCTGGTATCCTATACATAGCCATTTTTCACGGTTTTGTTTTCTGATAAAGTAGCAGTCATCAAGGAAGGGTTAAGCTCCTCTAATCGAAATGATGCAAGGCTCATGGTTGACTCAAGGGCGGCAGCTCTCTTTGGGCACCCTGTTACTTAGATGCTAACGTCCCTCTTATTTTGGAAAGCCCCGAGGCAGGCCTACACGCTAAACTTTGCGACAGGAAGTTGGAAGTTAATTAGAGGGGCGAAGACGGCCATCGAAGGAAGCCTTTTGCACTCTCAAATGCATCTGATGGCGGGCTCAAGGGGTTAGGTGATACTATCTAATGTTACGCTCAGTGGAATAAGGATGGACCGTGGATCGGCAAAAAGGCGCAAGGCTTCAATTGGATAGTCTGTCTAATTCCAGCCATACCACTGAATCTACAGGTATATAATAAGCGCCAGAGTTTGTATAGCTTCGATGTGGAATCCTTCCTCGGACGGCCTTGTGGTACGCGGACTAGGCAAGCTTGTTCTATTTTGTAAAAATGGGGGTCTACTACTGGAAGTCTCCGGCCGGGGCAGCACTCGATAGGGATCTCTTCTCATGTTATGTCAGGCAGTCTGCCCATCGACAGCGAGTATACAATCATGGCAAGGGGTACAGACCGGCAATGCAAGAGTGTGAAGCTGTTGCACGAAAGCTATGCGCTCAACCGGAGAACATGACTTGATAATTTAGGCAGAGATGGACCTAAAAATGAACGCGGCGCCTTTTGTTTCTTGCAGACATTTTAACAACCAGGGCAGCAGGATGCAACTTCAACGAGAAATATGGTGAGCACATCTCTTGGGGGTGCAACCGCGTTTCTGCATGGATAGGCTTGGGCGAAACTGGCTCTTAACATGCCACGAGAAGACCTCAGAGGCAAGATTGAAACACAAAAGAAGTAGATCATTGTATTAATGTCTCATCTGATGTGAAAAACTTGTCCAAGACAGCCGGTAGGCAAACTATGTTCGATCTTGAACGAAGGGTACGAGGGTCGTTTTGTCTAAGACGTTGCACCTGGTCAAGACCTGGATCGGACCGAAGGCTTCACATGCTATCGTTCGGATCTATCTGAGTCACTGTATGTGTCTAGAAACGGACAGGGTCGACGCTAGAGATAACGTCCGGAGAAAGCCCCCAGGACCGCCTACATCGATAGGCACTCGGGCAGTTTCATCAAACCTAAAGAACATGATATGAAAGCATCAGGTGACTGTTAAGCACCCACATATATGTATCCGTATCAATGGTCAATAGTACATGGTCACTATGCTACTGGCACCACCCGTCGTCCTCTTTGAAGCACGAGAGGCTGACCCTCGAGATGAGATGTACTTGTTGTCTATGCCTTACCCTACGTGCTCCTATTCCAAGTGACGAGCACGCAAGTCTGCCGATAACCACAAGTGAAGGATATTAATGCCCTTGATAAGCAGGCAGCCATTGCGCACTAAGCCCTGCCATGTCTCAGGTAGTCGGTGAGATAGGACAGAAGGGCAAGGGTGGTGCAGAATGATGTAGGGTCGATTTCGAGTAGCTAACACGCCAGACTGGGGGTGAAATTGGGGTTTGCCAAGACAGGTAGTGTTCTCGCTAGGCCTTGAGTACATACCGGCCCACCGGATACCCTACTGTGCTGTTGAAGGGAGGCTGGGCGCCGAGATAGCCTTTCCTCCGGCAGATGGGTTGAAGAGCGGTCGGATGAATCTAGGATGAAGCAACGTGAAAACTGCTTGGCATGGAGGTTTCGGCCAAACCTCAATGTGATGTTGAATACCCGTTCGCAACTCGACGACACATCCTGAGGTTGCCGGTCCGTCTGGTAAGGGGTTTTTTCGTCGATGAACGACGGTGATAGACTGGCATCCGCAGGTCCAACATAACATAGCATCCGCTTGTCTGGTAATGTGAAAAAGAAACGCTACGCCCCAACAGCAGTGATTGGCCCCGAGCTCGCCGGACAGCCAAGACAACATCGGAGTCCGGGAAATCAAGTGTGGAAGAGGGAAAAGGCGTTTCTTGCTGCCAAGAATAGCCAAGAACAATTCCATGTTGTTGAGTTTGGCTGTTGTACACTAGCTGCAATACAAGTCTAGGCCAATACAGAAGTGTTGAGTAGGGGAGGGTTGGGCCAAGACCATCTTCGTAACCCCCCCTTCTTTCTCTTCTTCCGGTCTCCCCGACAGTTGGACGACGTGCGCCTGTGTCGTAGAGTGAATGGGGACATTGATATACAGTATGCACGAGGTGGTTGTCGACTTTTCTTGGCTAGTTTGCATGCAGGAGCAGACGGAGTCTCTGCCATCTGTCAGCGTCGCAATCATCATTTGGTTGGTCACCATTCTATCATACGTGCTAGTCTAGTCAGCGCCCATGGCGGGCGGCGCCCCGCAGGCGACGGGCAAAGAAAAACATATAGCGACAGGCTGTCACTACGGCAGCATACTTGGGAGCTGACGACAGCACGCTGCGAGAACGGGCGTGAGGCGAGGGTGTCGCCCACCACTGCGGACAAGCTTTCGCAGGACAAGGCAAGGTGACGGGTCTTATGGGATGGGTTGGGAATAGTGCATGTCAAGGATGTCAACCCGAGGGGGCGAGAACGAGGGTGGGATTCTGCAAACTGGACCAAAGGCTGCAGTCGAGATGAAAGAAGTATGTACTATATGCGTGGGTGTGGGAGAGAAGGCATGTACTGTATGTACGTAGGGTTGTCCGTTGCTGCCTCTATTGTGTCGCCTGGGAGCCTAGCACTAGCGGCATGGGGTAAGGGAGTGGTCCCAACTTTAGTCCAACTGCACTCTGCACTTCAGCAGTCTCCGGACGAACACAACCCTCCTCCTCCTCCTCGTCGCCTGCTGCCAGCTACAAGGTACAGGCAGTTACAAGGCGATCCCTCGTAGGTACCTAGGTACTTAGGGTCGCCCAAAGTTGTGGAAACACAGTAAAAGTATCATGCCCGAGCTGCCAGTTACAACAGCAACGACAACAACAACAACGACAACTGGCAATAAATGAACCGAACTCGAATCAGACAGACATTGGCTTAGACTTCCCGGCCAACCCCAAAGCCTGGACGCATCGCATGGGTGGGCACCCAACGTGCCTACACTAAACTTAAATCTGTCGAAGCGAATTCATGGGGTACATGTACACACCCAGGTAGGTAGTGTACTGAAGGTACCCACCTACCTAGGGTAGGTACGGAACGGTTGGAGAGAGAGAGAGAGAGCTTTGCCCACCTGTTCCTTATCATTCGCTCCTTCCCTTCCAACCCCCTCCTCCCCCCCTTTGGTTGGATATGGGGGGTAGTAGGTACCCGTACCCGTACATGTGTAATATTTCCAAGCCCACCAGCAACTGAGCTAAAAGCAGTGAGTCAGTCATGTGAGCATAGCTAAGAGGTAGGTACCTCCCCCATCTTTTCCAGTCCCGTTTCCCGTCCTTCCTTCCCCATTTTCCCCATTCTTCCCCAGTCTCCAGTCGTGGTCCCCTTGATCGTAGATGCTAGCTTGGTAGCAATCTTTGGTCGCTGGCCTGGAAAAGGCAGAGCACCCCCCCGCTATTTGCCCTACCTAGGTCAACCCCCCGTCTTTCCCGTCAAGCGAGAGAGGATAGGGTGGGTGAGGGGGGAGAAGAGGGAGAGAAGGAGAGAGAGAGAGAGAGAGAGAGAGAGAGAGAGAGAGAGAGAGAGAGAGAGAGAGAGAGAGAGAGAGAGAGAGAGAGAGAGAGAGAGAGAGAGATGATTTGCCTGTCGTCCAATTGGCCTTCCGAACTGGACCCAGATGAGTGGCGGAGTTGAGCCAAGCTGTCGGATGCTCAATTTACTCAATCTCACTTCGGCTCTCATGCCTCATTTGGCTCGGCTGCCCGGTAATACCCTGCTGGCCAAGCCTTACTAGGTAGCTCCCCGCATCATCCTTCCAGCCTCCCAAGACCTAGAACGACGACGGAAACCCCAGCCCAATGCCGGTGACGAGTACGTACCTCTCTCCCGTGACCGAGTGAGACTCGGCATGAGAGTCTTGGAGTCTTTTCGCCATCTTCTCTTCCTTGCCTCCATTTGCAACAGTCCAAGCCCCTTTCAAGCTTCTCAGGCCTCCTGGCGAACCCTTGCTGCCACACTCTGCCGCATTCCGTCCCGTTCTACCGCATCCGCCTGGTTTCCTATCGCGGTGCCATCCTTCCCCTCCCGCTGCGAGCTTCGCCTCCAACTCCCGTTGACCTACCTCGCCTACCGTATTGCGCCGTCAAATCTCTTTTCGCGCTTTTCTCGCCCGCTCGAGCAACATTCCGTCGGGCAAGAAGCTCCATTCGACCGGCGCTAATGATGATTCAGCCCTCCCGTACACGTGGCCGCTAGTTAAGCCAAGGGCTCTCTTCGTGTTACCCTTCATCGAGCATCCAAGATCGCCACCTGCCTGGCCGTGTTGCTTTTGTTTCATCCTTGTGGTGTGAAGAATGAGAGCCAGTATCTCTCGTCTCGGTGGGAAAGCACATATGGAGCAGCGAGCCGTTCGTTTTCTTGGCCACCGTATGCCACGCCATGGCACAGGGAAACCATGGGAGCCCGAGGAGGGCCATCTTGTATAACACGCAAGCCTGGGTTTTCCTTGTTCTCCGCGTTCCGGAAACCTGGCCGTGCTGGTGTTTTGTTTCCTGAAGGCGAGTAAACACTACAGGGCCTGAAGATACAGCCCTAGAGAATGTTGTCAGGAGCGACGTTGGCCTACAAGACAGAGTAAAGAGAGGCACACGCGTACGTACTCGTGGCGTTTGGCACCTATACCCAGAGGAAGCGGAGACGATCTGCTCTATTTGTTAACCTGTCGATAACGGCACTAAGGATATATGGATGGTTTGTATTGTATGCATGTCATTTTGGTCGCTGTTGGTGTCTCGAGGATACACACCCGTGACATCTCAATCACTAATTCTCTGTAAAGGTGGCCTCGATGCTGGCAGATTGGCTATTGTTTAGACGGTCCATCTAGGAGACAGACAGGCCCGGTTTTCGCGCATTGGCTGACATGGCTGAGGTTGGGGACACCCAGCTCGGCGCTTCTTGGCGACAACACCAAGTACGGAGGGGGGGAGGCAGCTGAGATGATTGTGAGATTGGCATGCGGGGGTGGGGGGACGGGGGACTGGATGAGGAGGAAGCACAGGGAGTGCACACACGATTGGGTTGACAGGGAGGGATAAGAGACGGAGCATCCTGATGTGGTTGTCGTGTCCCACGATGATTCCCCAGGTCCAGCTTACCCGCACGAAACTGCTCCATCTTGATCAATTGAATGATCATCCATTGCTAGCTAACCTGGCCATCCTGGCCTTGGGTGTGCTACGGCAAGATAGAAACAGAAAAGGCGAGTGGGATACGATGGCGGGCAGCGTATGGCTGGCCTAGAGGCGGCAGGTCTTGGTCCGGAAAAGCACCCACTCCGTATAAGCGGACAGGATGCGAATCCTGTGGAGCGGCGGCAGAGTTGCAGTTGCGACACGGCGGTACCGGCGCCACAATGTAGGTAGGTAGGTAGGTAGGTAGGTAGCGAGAGGACATGTTGGGCCTCTGCATATCTTTCCATACTACCTGGGTAGGTGGTTAAGTAGGTTATCTATTGTACCTAGGTGATTAAAGTATCCCTTTAGTTACGAACGGACCCCACTAACCCCCGTGAGGGGTAGAAGCAAATCAGGCCACAGCATTTAACGCCAAAAGCCAATAGTTTCAAGCTACTTCTATTTATATAGCATTTTGCCTATGCTAAAGGTACTAATAATCTTTACTTTTACATAAAGGTATATTGTAGTCTAAATAGCCTTACTAGGTCCTTTGTTGCTGCATAATATTACTAGATACTTGCCTAAGAGCTTGCTGTTGCTGTGTACTACACTAGGAGTAAAGTATATTCTTCCTATATAACCTTTGCTAGTAGTCTAAGAATAGGATATTAGTGTTCTATTTATAGGACTATTACTAAAGGTATAAAATCTAGTAACCTTTTACTAATAGTCTAAACTATTAAATAAGCTAAGTAAAAAGTAGTTACTACTATTAATATTAATTTATAACCTTTAGCTATTTTAGGCTTCTTTTTAGCTAAAGATAAAAGGTATTTATAATAATAACTTTAAGTAAGAAGGTCTAGGTAATAGCTTACTAAGATCCTTAATATATATAGTAGTTAAAGTAATATAAGGCCTTTATATAGTTACTAATATTTACTTTATTTATTATATAGTTATAGTTATCTATTAGCTAAAGGACTAGGAGGTCTTTCTAGACCTCTAGGCTAAATACCTCCTAAGTAGTCTACTTTACTACTGTTTTACTAACTAGCTAGCAGTAGCTCTAGATTATACTATTAACCTAGCTACCTTAATATACTATTATAAAGAAAAGTATAAAGGTATTATTTTTCTAGCTAATTTAGTTAACTTATAAGAAGATAAACTAGTTAGTATAAGTATTTATATATAAATATAGTTTAAAAAGATATACTAGGCTATTAGTAGTAAGAATAAAGTATATTTAGCCTTATAGGATACCTTAGCCTTCTTTATTTTTCTTAGTAATAAGTATAGTATTAATACTACTGTTTTTTTAGTATATACTAGAGGCTTTAACTTACTAGCTCTAGAGGGCCTAGAAGAGCCTAACTAAGGTAAAGAGGTTATCTAGAAATATATAATATATAGCTACTAATAGTAAAGTAAAAAAGGCTATAACTACCTACTATATTAGTATTAGCTAGGCTACCTAGTTTACTAGGCCTACTAGGTTTAGAGCTTTAGCAAGAAGCCTATATAGCCCTTCTTTATATATATACTAAAGCCACTAGAGGAAGTACCTAGATTAAGTAAAGACCTATACCTTAAAGCTAGTTAGTATTAGCTTTATTAGGATAATTATTATCTCCTAGCTTTAGCCTATAAATTAGACTATTACCTTATTAATAGTAAAATTAAAGCTAGCTATATAAAAGGAGTCTCTAGTTACCTAGATATAGGCTAACTATTAGTTAATCTTCTAGTATATATCTAGTATCCTCTAGGTTACTAGCTAGCTCTAGGTTAAGAACTTAGAAAAGTTAAATATCTAAAGCTAGGTATAAAGCTATTAAAAGTAGTCTTAAGTTATAAAGTATATAAATAGATATAATAGATTTTTACTTTACTACTAAGTTAACTAATATCTTATTACTTAAGATTTAAAGTATATACTTATATAAATTAAAACACTAAAGAAAAGGTAAATCTTATTAGCAAAGGTATATCTTTAATTATACACTTATAACCTTCTTTAACATAGGCCTACCTTAGATAGTAGTATAGTATTTATTTAATTAACCTACTATTAGATTAACTATAAAGGTATATAATAGAGGAAAAGGTTAACTAGAGTATTAATATCTAATAGTAATATAGCCTTTCTACTAGCTGTTGTAGATCTAATAGGAGGAGCAAGGCTACAATAGGCAATATAAAGTAATATAGTGCAAAGGTAAAGTGTAACAGTAAAGCAGTAAAACAAGGTAAGTAATAACAAGGAGCTAAATAAATAATATAGGACAAGAGCTAGGTATTAGTATAGGTTGTCTATTAAGGTTACTCTTCCTTATAAAAGGAAATAGGTAATAAGATATATACCCCTAGGTATATGCCTAGATATATACTAATAAAGTAATCCTATGTTTTACTTATTTATTTACTATATAAGGTATTTATCCTATAATAAGTGCCTTTCCCCTAAAGGACTTTATCTTTTTCTACTAAGAAAATATACTAAATAGTAGTATATATAAATATAAAGTATAAAAATTACCCTTTTTCTTATATAATAACCCTATTACTTATTATCTTTAAAGTTTTATTAAGATTATTTAGCCTTTAGTAGCGCCTAGGCTAAGTTATTATTATTAGTGTTATAGTAGCGTTTATTAGCTTAGCTACTCTAGGGCGTTAAGGCAGTAACTTTAGGCTAAGTAGCTAGGACCTAAAGGTTAACTATAGCCTTTTATTTATTAAGCTTAGTAGCTATTTAGTTAACTTTATCTATTAACTTCTTAAATAAGTTACTCTTAAAAGTAGTTAGTGTATTAAAGTTATTAGACTTTTTATTAAGAAGTATAACCTTAGTGTTTATCTAGTCTACTTACTCCTTAAGTTCCTTAAGGCACTTCTCTTGCTTATATACTTTATTAGCCTTTTTATAAAGGTTCTCTATAATATTATTAATATTTATATTAAAGGTGTTAGTTTTTCCTATAATATCCTTAGTAAGTTTAGTAGCTACGTTAGCCTTAGTATTATATTTATTAATATTACCTTTATAGCTATTAACTATATTAGCTAGCTTAGTAATATCCTCCTTAAGCTTAGTAATAGCGTATAGCTACTTTTTTAGCTAGTTAAAGTAATAAATCTCTAGGATAAAGATTTTATTAAGATATTAAATTAAAAGAAGTATACTTATAACCTTTAAATTAGATTAGCTAAGTTAATAAAGGAAAGTAAAACTAATAAGTATAGTATAGCTAAGAATATTACCTATATATAGCTTACCTTTTTTATACTTAGCTAGGACAGTGTCTATTAAGGTAGTAATTTTATAGCAGAAGTATATATCTAAGGTAAATAATAATTACTATAACGCTATAGAGCTACCTTATTACTAGGTGTAAAAAGCTTTAACCTAAGCTATAGTCTTTTTATAAAGCTATTTATTACTACTCTTATAAAAAGTGTCCTTTAGGTAACAGAAGGCCTCCTTATAAGTAGAGATAGCTAGCTTTAAGCTATAGCCTTTTTACTTTATAAAAGTATAAGGTTTATATACCTAGTTATTAGTATTATTAGCTTCTTTAGTAGTAGTAGCTTTAGTATTAGCCTTATAGGCTTAGATTTATTTAAGGACTTACTTATTAGTAGGTTTATAACTAAATAGCTTAGTTATTTTCCTTATATAGTTATTAATCTTCTCTAGGGTAGTAATTACTACTAACTTTTTATATATAGTAGTAGGCTTTTTTAATTCTCTTATATTATTATACTTTCTTATTTCCTTAGTAAGCTTTATAGCTACTTTTATAGCGTTAAAGGGTTTTCTTGCAGTAGTAGCTTTATCTTAAAGTTACTACTAAATCTTATTAAAAATAAGCTATCTCTATTACTTATAGTTCTTATTAGATATTAAGGTTTAAAGACCTTATATATATAAAAATAAGATAATAATATAACAAAGAAGTAGAATATATAATATAGTATTAATAATACTGTATACACTATATACACTAGATATAAGAATAACTACTTAGAAAATAGCTATATATACTATATAATAATAATATTTATATATAAAGAATAAGTCTTTTAAGTAAGACCTCCTCTTTCTCTAAGGAATTAAGAATATAGTTCTAGGTTATATAAGGTAAACAGATAAAATAATACCCTACTGCAGGTAAAACAATACCCTGTATTCTAATAACCTACCTAATAACCTACTTAATAACCTAGAATACTAAAGAAATCCTTAGAATACCTAAGATATAGGTATAAGTAATCCCTTTATATCCCTAGGTCTAGTTAGATAGTTAGATCTATAAGCTCTTCTATTATATCTATAACAATATACTACCTTTATATCTTATCTCCTATCTTTTATCTCTTATTTGCCCCTTTTACCTCTAAAAGGTTATAAGCCTAGCTCTTAAGACCTAGAAAGAGGTTAGAAAAAGTAACTTTTTTAAGAATTAAACCTATAGCCTTTGCCTTTTTAGGCTACTTCTTTAATAACTTAACTAATTTAACTAACGCCTTCTGCTAAAGGCAATATTAACAGTAATAGATTTAAAGATAAACCTTCTTTGCCTTAAGGGCACTCTTAACTATACTACTTAGGCAGTTAGAATTTAAGCCCTTCTTATTTCTAAAGATATTAATATTAACCTTTAGAACCTACTTACTAAAGAAAATAAATAATATAATAATAAGGCTTTAGCCTATATCTAACTATATTGCTCTAATAGGCTATTAAGGGTTATAAAAGACTCCTTTATAGCCCTAGAGGCTTAGAAAAAACTAGCTAATTTATATAAACCTAAGGGTTTTACTAATAAATTTCTAACCTATAAGGAGTTCTTTAATACCTCTTTAGAGGATTTTAATACTATTAAGGAATACCTTGCTAAGGTTAAGGAGTTAACTAATAATCTAGCTAATAATAAGCTAGAACTACCTAAGAAGGTTATAATTACCTAGGTTTTAAATAGCCTTAATAATACTTATAAGGGTTTTATAACTAATATAATATAAAGCCTATAAAAGGACTTTAATTCTTATACTCTAGATATACTATTTTCTAGCCTTCTAGATAAATATAAAAGAAAGAAGGGTTCTACTATAATAAACCTAATAAAAAATAACAATAGAATAATAAAAAAACTATAGAAAAAGCAAAGGGGTCTTTTTGTTAAAACTATAAAAAAACTAACTATATAGAGAATAACTGTGCTTTTCTTTACCCTAATAAAGCACCTGTTTAGTAGAAAAATAAGAATAAGGATAAGAAAGAAGAAGAGAAAATAGTTAATACTATAATTTCTAAGGATATAGACTTAGATATAAGTCTAACCTCTACTAAAGGAGGAGAAACCCCTCCTACTTATAACTCTACTGCCTATAATAATATTCCTTTTAAGAATATAAGTATAACCTATAATAATAATAATAATAATAATACTAATAATATAACCCTAGGTAGTTTAATAAAGGAGAAACTAAGGGAAATAAAACAGATTATATCTAGGAATAATAAATCTATTACTTTTTGCCTTAATATGCTGCTACTATTTATACTATAAGTAATATAAAACATCTATATAATATAAATACTATTAAAGAAAATATAAGGTAGGGAGAAGCAGAATCTCTAACTATAAACTATAAAGGAGATATAGATATCCTAATTAATAACAATATATATACTATAAAAGATATTTATTATATTCTATAACTAGGCTTAAACCTTCTAAGTTAGAATAAGTTAGATAAAATAAATATAGTATCTATATTCTATAATAATAATCTTATACTATATAATATAAAGGAAGATAAACTACTAAGTATAGGAAGAAAGATTAATAGTTTATATTACTTTAACTTCTATATACCTTATAATAATAACTATAATAATAATAATATACTTAATATACTACTAATAATAATAATACTACTAATAATAATAAATCTAATAAAGATAAAGATTTAGCTATACTATAGTATAATAGACTTAGATATATAGCTTACTCTTTATTGCCTTACTTAAATAAAGCTACTATATTAAATAGTAATAATAATAATAATAATATATATATACCTAAGATAAATAATATATGTAAAGCCTGTTTAAAAGGGAAATTTATAAATAAAGTAAATAAGATAAGTAATAATAATAGACCTATACTAGAATATCTAGAAGCAGTAGCTTCTGATTTATATAGACCTATAACTCCTATAACATATAATAAGAATAGATAGTTTATTATATTTGTTGATATATATACTAGATTTGCTTGGGGATATCTTCTGAAAACTAAAGATTCTGAAGAGATATATACTATATTTAATAACTTTAAAATCTAGTAAATAATAATACTAATAATAAAAGAATAAGAGAATTTAATACAGATAGAGGAAAGGAATTTAATAATAAAAGAATAAAAGTAATATATAATAACAAAGGAATAATACATAATATAAGACCTCCTTATACACATAAACCTAATAGTATAATAAAAGAATAATAAGAAATATAGTTAATAAAATAAGGACTTTACTATATAATTCTAATCTACCTAAATATTTATAGGGAGAGGCTTTCTTAGCCTCTATATATATATATAATAGAACCCTATATTCTTTTATAGATTATAAAACACCCTATAAAAATAGATATAAAATAAAACCTAATATATCTAATATATGAGTATAGGGAAGTATATACTACTATAAAAATAAAGACCCTAATATTAGAAAATTAGATTCAAGAGCTAATAAGGGCGTTATAATAAATTACGGAAATAATACTTATAAAATATAGGATATAATACAGAAAAGACCTATATAGTCTAGAGATATTACTATACTAGAAAATAACTTTATAACTAACAATAATAATAATAAAGAAAGTCTAGAAATAAATAATAATATAAATAAAAATAAAGACCTTAATAGTAATAAAGATAATATTAATACTAATAATAATGTATCTAAAGATAATATAATAATAGAAATACCTAAGATTAATAAAGAAGATTATATAGACTATAAAGAAGGTAATCTATTTAATACTATAGAAGATTATCCTTCTATTAATATATTAGCTCCTTTAAATAGAGCTAAAGATAAAGCATCTTATATACTATCTTCTAATATATTAACTAAACCTTCTACTTTTAAATAATTTCTAGAGGATAATAATAAAGATAACTAGATAGAAGGTATGAATAAAGAAATTAAAGAATTAGAAAATAATAATATATAGACTATTATAAAAAATAATAATAATAATAATATTATTAAAGGAAGATAGGTATATAAAATAAAAGAAAAAACAGATAATAATAATAATAAAATAGAGAAAATATATAAGGCAAGATAGGTAGTATAAGGCTTTAATTAACACTTAGGTATTAATTATTTAGAAACCTTTAGTACTACTTGTAGGCTAGAAAGCTATAGATATATAATAATATTAGCTGTTGCTAATAACTAGTATATACAACAATATAATGTAACTAATGCCTTTGTGTATACTAATATTAATAAAGATATATATACTATAATTCTAACTGGATATATATATAACAAAGAAGCTAATAAACTAGTTTTTAATAATAAAAATCCTTTATATAATAATAAAGAATATATATGTAAATTAAATAAGGCTTATATAGTTTAAAACAAAGTCCTAGACTATAGTATAAGCACTTAAAAAATATATTTATAAAAGAAGGCTTTAAAATATCACCTTATAATAAAGTAGTATTTATATATAATAAAGATAATAATAAAATAATACTAGCTTGTCACGTAGATGATATGTTAGTAGTTAGAAATAATAAAGAATTTATAGATAATCTATTTAATAATATACTACTTAAATATATAAAGATAAAGCCTATAGAATACCTAGTATATTTCTAGGAAATAAAATATATATAGATTATAAAAATAAAAGCGTATATATACATTAAACTAAATATACAGATAAGATATTAAGTAAATATAATAAAAGGGATTTATATCCTTATAATACACCTATAGATAATAATATAAAGTTATATAAAATAAAGGACAAGTAACTAAGGAAGAAATATTAAAATATTAGCAAGAAATAGGTGCTTTAATATATTTAGCACTAAAAACAAGAATAGATATAACCTTCCTGTTATAACTTGTTCTAGATATATAAGTAACCCTTCTAAAGAGTATTTTATTGCCCTTAATAGAATATAGGGTTATTTAAATAAATATAATAATTTAGGAATATATTATAACTGTAATAATATTAATAATTTTAATATAATAGGTTATACTAATTCTAACTAGGCAGAAGATCTTAATAATAGAAGATCTACCTCTAGTTATATATATACTTATGGATATTATAATCTTATTAGCTAGAATTCTATAAAACAAAAAACAGTAGCTTTAAGTACCTGTGAAGCTGAATATATGGCTTTAACAGAGGCTATAAAAGAAGCTATATATTTATATAATAGCTATAACTATATAAGAATAAATCTAGGGTTTAGTGATTTAAATAAACCTAGAATATTAATAGATAATAAAGCAGCTCAAAAGCTAGCAGAAAATCTAGAATTTATAAAAAAGTTAAGCATATAAATATAAAATATCACTTTACAGAGATACTATAATAAATAAACAGGTTATCTATATTATATAAATACAAAAGATAATATAGCAGATATTTTAACTAAACCTCTAGGAAAGGTTTTATTTTATAATATAATAAATACTATAAATATAATAGATAAAGATACTATACCTAAATATAATAAACAAGAAGAAAATAAAAATATAAGAAATAAGTATATAAATAATAATAATAATGATAATAATAATAATAATAATAATAATAATAATAATAATAATAATAATAATATATAAAGAAGAGAATATATATATATAAATAAGTTACTATCTCTTGTTTTCTCCTGCTTATAAAGGTTTTAAAGAGATTAGTAAAGTATATATTTAAGTATATATACTTAATAATAAATAGCTATCTTAATTTTTCCTATTAAGGTTTTTATAGATAAGCTATATATAATAAATTATATATACCTTAAGGGGGGGTATTAGATATTAAGGTTTAAAGACCTTATATATATAAAAATAAGATAATAATATAACAAAGAAGTAGAATATATAATACAGTATTAATAATACTGTATACACTGTATACACTAGATATAAGAATAACTACTTAGAAAACAGCTATATATACTATATAATAATAATATTTATATATAAAGAATAGGTCTTTTAAGTAAGACCTCCTCTTCTCTAAGGAATTAAGAATACAGTTCTAGGTCACATAAGGTAAACAGATAAAACAATACCCTACTATAGGTAAAACAATACCCTGCATTCTAATAACCTACCTAATAACCTACTTAATAACCTAGAATACTAAAGAAATCCTTAGAATACCTAAGATATAGGTATAAGTAATCCCCTTATATCCCTAGGTCTAGTTAGATAGTTAGATCTATAAGCTCTTCTGTTATATCTATAACAATATACTACCTTTATATCTTATCTCTTATCTCCTATCTCTTATTTACCCCTTTTGCCTCTAAAAGTTCTTAAGTAAAGGCTTTTACTATTTAATATATTCTATAGCCTTATTAGTGTCCTTTATTATATTATTAGGTAAAGAAATATTATTACTTTTAATACTAAAGACATTAGAGTTTATACCTTTATTATTATTATTATTATTCTTATTAACGTTATTATTATTTTTAGTAGCCTCTTCTTTATCCTAGGACTAAGGGGCTAGTTAGTTAATAGCTATAAAGGATAGCTTAAGGATAAATCTAGGCTTATTAGCTAAGGTAATAGTAACTTTATTAAGCTAGTAGGTTTACTTATTAAGCTAATTTACCTTAGGGCTAGTAATACAGAGAGGGTTATCTTTATTAAGGTACTAGTTAAGGTTAATAGTGTCTAGGTTTAAGGGATTATTATTGCCTAGGATAAGGCTAAATTAAATTAGGGTGCTTATAGTAGCTTATTTTTCTTCTTGTTTAAGAGGTAAAAGTTTATAAAGAAAAAAGGAAAGAGAATATAGGAAAAAGATATATTATTACTATAAGAATATTAATAGGTTATAGTTAATAATAGTAGTAATATAGTAAAGTTAGTAATAGTAATAGGAAAGTAGTAGGTTTAGTAAGTTAAAAATAAGAAAACTATAGTTATAGGCAAGTAAGTTAATTTATCCTATTATTATTATTAGTAGCTATAGGTAAAGAAGGTATAGTTAGTTATTTTAGGTAAAAGCTTCTTCTGTTGTTTTTTTAGGATATTAGACTATATAAATATTCTTATTATTTACTATATAACTATATATTTTAATAAAAAAAAGTATTAGTTATCTTTAAGTTATTATTATTCTTATTAAAAGAAAATTAAGAAACAAGGTTATTATTAAGAATAAAGATATAAGGCTAAGTTTTTCTCTACGTTATTATAAAGTATTATAACTATTTTAGTGTTAACTATAGTAGTGTCTATAGGAAGTCTACTAACGTAGGCTTTTAGCCTTACTTCTTTATATACTTTACTACCTAATTAATAAGGTTAGCCTTCTTAAAGTTAGTTATAATATTACTAGCGTTAGGTATAAGGTTTTTATAGGGTTCTTATATATTAGATACTAGTAAGTACCTTTTTTACTTAATAAGATACTTAACTAATAGGTAGTTCTTTTACTAGTTAACTTTATAGTCTATAATTCTCTTAACTTTAAATTCCTTTATGCTATCTACTTTTACTAGCTCTAGGGGTAATTACTTTTTTTTAAAAAAGTTATTACTAGTTAGTGCTTTTTATAGCTATATAGTTAATACTACTAGGTAGACCTTCTAGTGCAGTAGTAGGTTAAGTTTATAGGCTCTTAGCCTAACTATATAGGTAATATAGAAAAGTCTAGTGCACTAAGGAGACTATTTTTACTTAGGCTTACCTAGTAATAAATAGCCTTTACTAAGTTAAAGGAAAACCTTATCTTTAACGTTAAGTTTTATAAGGTAATAGTAATAATTATATTATTTCTTTCTTATTACTTCTACTATATTAATAAAAGCTAGTGCCTTTGCCTAGTATATTTAGCATAGGATATTAAAAGACTCTAATAAGAGTTTATTTTTACTAATATACTCTAGTATTATCCTAGGGTAAAATCTAAGAATAACTTTATTTAGTAAATAACCTACTATAACTACTAACAAGTTATTAAGTAAGTACTATAAAGCTATAAGAATATTAGTCTATAAGATATTAAGGTTAGTATATATATAAAAGTATATAGTAATTTTAACTATTTAGTTAGTTTTTTTACTTTAGCTATTAGTCTAAAGGTAATATACTATAGATATAAGTAGTTATACTTTAAGGGCGTTAAATATTTCTACCTATATTATAGAGATAAACTTAGGGTTATAGTATTATTAAGTAGTACGTTTAGAGGGTAATTTATATAGTTAAAAGTAGCTTATTTCTTTTATCTATAGTGCTATAATCTATGTTCCTTAAATATTGCCTTGCTTAGTAGATTTTACTATAAGTATCTATATTTAGGAGCAAGGGTTAGATTAATAAGCAACATTATTCTAGAAAGTAGTGTTAGTTAGTAATATCCTATATAATATACCCCCTTAGGCGTTAGTATAAGTCACTGTACGCCTAGATATAAAGGAAAAATAGTTCTTCTAGTGTAAAAAGGCTAGTTATTATATAATTATAGGCTGTTAGTATTAGGTGTTCCTATTAGTAAGGCTACTTACTATAAGGCTAGCCTACGCGCTAGTAAATATTTACCTTAAGGCTAAATTTATAGTTACTTTTTTCTTTTTTCTTTAATAACTATAATAATAATTATAAGTTATATTATTATTTTTATTATAATTAATTACTAATTTATTATCTTTTATATTATTATATTACTTTACTTAATTACTAATACTCCTTTTTCTTTTAGATGTCTTATAAAACTATTACCTTTAGTAAGGCTTATATATATACCCTTGTAGCTACTATAGGCCCTAAGGCTATAGTAGTCTTACTACTATATAACTACTATAGTTACTATAAGTATACTTTATCTTCTCTTAAGGAGGAGGAGAAGACCTTTAGTAAGTCTATAAGGGAGTAAGAACCCCCTGTAGATAGGTCTTATAAGTATTATCTTATTACTAGTTAATTAATTTTAGTACTAAAGAACAAGTATAGCTCTTTAAAAGTAATAATAAGTAGTCTCTCTAAAGACTAGCCCTCTTAACTTTAGTTAAGAGAAGCTATATAACTTAGGCCTAGATTTACTTTTAACTAGTATATTACTGCTTATTATTACCTAGTTATTTCTTAATTACTAACTTGTTTTATAGATAATAAAGTAGTAGTAAAGTAGTTACCTTTTTACTCTTATATTAATAACAAGGAGAGCCTACTATTATCTCCTAAGGTTAAAAAGGATTTAGGTAGTAATAATAATGCCTTTATAAAGGCACTAGAGTACTAGGAAGGTATAGTAAAAAGACTTACTATTATTAGCCTTTATAAGTATTACTTAAGGAGTACACTTATAGGTTAATCTAATAGTAAGTGTCTCTTAGGTCTTAGCCTTAAATATTACTAATATATTATATATTAGTGTATATATATACTACTTACCTCTAAGGTTATTAGCCTAGCTAATGCCCTCCTATATACTCTAAGCAGTAGAAAGGCCTTATATAAAGTAAGTTACTTTTTATTTATATAATAGTTACTTTTACTTATATATCTTTATTTTAGGTAATTATAGCTATATAGTTATATATATAGGTAGTTCTACCTTAAACCCTAAAGAAAGAGAAGGCTACTTTACCTATAACTATCTCCTTTAATAAGGACAAGGAGGAGAAAGATAAAGAGAAGGAGGAGGAAGAGAAGAAAGAGAAGGTATATAATAAAGTAAGTAGCCTTAAGAATCCCTTTATAAAGGCTATTACCCTTAAGTGTTCCTCTAGCTTCCCTATTAGTCCTTATATATATTATAGTGTCTTTATTAGTACTATTTATATGTAGGCTAACCTTAATAGCTTTATTAGTAAGCTTCCTCTTATATAGGGGACTTACTCTATATTTTATTATCTCTTAGATAATTATATAGATGCCTTCCTCTGTTAATAATAGGCTCCTTAGCCCTTAGGCTATTTTTACCTTTTTAGAATATTAGGCTTCTTAGCCTATAGGCTATTTTTTAATTTTTACTTTAGCTTAGGCCCCTTAGCCCTAGGCTATTATTTAATTTTAGAGAAGTTTTTACTTTTATTCTTCTTATTATTTATTAATTAGGTCTTTGTTTCTTTTTATCCTACTATATACTATATATCTTATAAGTTAAAGAGTACTTTAAAGTACTTAAATTTAGCTTATAAGAGATTCTTAGTAAGTCTATTTACTAGTATCTTGTTTATTAGTAAATATATAATATTAACTTTACCTTTTATATAGACCTCTTATAGCTATATATTCTAGATATTAATATAGTAAAGTTATATTATAATCCTTTCTTTTTTTTCTATAACTAAGTAAATTATTTATTTATTAAA